GTAGGCATGCAGCCCCTCTCCCCACCTCACCCCAAGTGGCCATCCTGGGCCCATCTGCACGGTTAGCTCCTGAGCTGGGAGCGGATCTCCATTCTGCTCCTGTGCCAGCACCCTAAGGCTGGCTGCATCGTATCTCCCCTCCATCCTGGAACACTGCACCTCGTGTCCAGGTGCCCCGGGGAGAAGACTAAAGGTGCCTCTGTCCCCTATTCTACATCCCTCTGCTTCTCCCAAGTGCCAATTTAGGCCAAAAAAGGGACTTACCTCGGTGACAGTGCAAGTTCCTAGTGAGGAGAAAAAGGCTGACAGCTACTGGGAGGGGAGCGACTTCAGAGGTAGGAGGGTCTGGGAGCATTTCTCAAACCCCACAGCGAGGATGCTTACTGTCTGTCGGGCTCTGGATATAAAGGGCACAAATACTAGGCAGGTTTTTGTTTTGTTTTAATGTGTTTTCTACTTATAAACCGAATCAGAAGATGCTCCATTCTGGGGACTCTGACAAAGCAATGAATAAGTGTGAACAGAAATAGTACGCCCTGCTGTCTGAGGGCCCGCTGGTCTCTGTTCGCTCTGCTGCTGCAGGTGTGCTGGGAAAGCTCCTCTGACGATTAAAAGCACCTGCCCGCAGAGCATATGCTATGAGCATGCGCGCACGGCTCCCAGCAGGTGTGGCTGCTCCCCCAACACACACACACACACCCTCCTCCCCCCTGCCCCCAGGATGGGCAGGCTAGCCACCTTGCACTCCAATACACAGGGAAGTTATTTCTGAAAAGTCCTTCACTCTCCCCTTGGGAGGAAAGTTGCATCCAAATTCAGAGTAGTCTTATCACGTCAGAAAATATCTTGGGGGCAGGGAGACCTGAGCCCCAAATTAAGCCAGATTCTCTAGGAATGTGTGCTGCTTATATATTTTAAGTTAGTAGACTGAGAATGTGGGATTCATCTTGAGTCCATTTAAGGAAAAAAAAAAAAAAGCAGCATATGGGTGACAGATTTAGAGGAAAACATAGAAGGGTTTCATGGAAAATCCATGCCAACTTACCAACCTGTAGGCTGGCATTGAAATGTGCTGCCCACAGCGCGTCCAGGCAGCAGGCGGCAGTGGGGTCCTAATCAGGCTGTGGCAGCAGCCGTCCTCCCTCCCTTCACTCCTGCACCCCCGCACTCACTGCCGCACTGTTCTCCATATCCTCTGCACGCTACTCCATATGCTTCCAAAAGCTCCCCCTTCCTTCAAGCAAAATGAAGTAAAAAAAAAAAATCATCTTCTCTTTCAGTTAGAATTTATTATTATGGTTAATAACAAGGAAATATTTAAAGTGCTAAATATATGTTAAAACAGAACTACATGACAGCAAAAAAAAAAAAAAAGAATGGATGAAATAAATAAACAGACTTGATATTGAAATGCTGAAGTACCGTTATTTCCTTTGGCCCACAGATAACTATAGGTAACAAAGCAAAGAGCAGCATCTACAAAGATAAGAAGTAAAGTAGCCCCAAGAGATCTGGGGCCATGGGCATAATTAGTGATGCAAATCTACAAGGGGATCAATGAGAGAGAGAGAGAGAGAGAGAGGGAGAGAATGAGAATGAATGAAGAGAGAGAATGACTTCCTTCTCTGAAGTGAGCAAATTATTTAATTCTATCTTTTAGAAACTTCTTTTAGAAAGTTTATCAATCTTATGTTCAGAAATCTATGCTGGTCTGACCTTATATATAAACACAATATTAAACACTTTTTTTTTTAAGCAAGGGAAAAGTGAAAGAGGAACTGTATTATCACTTAATAGCACTTGTATCAAAATATGGTTTGCATTTTAACCTTCCATTTACTTTATTAGTCAACTTTTTTTTTTTTTTTAAGGAATAGCACTGGGGTTTTTGTAAAAAAACAAAACAAAACACAGCAGTCATAGCGAATGGACAGCCTGCATTAGGCGGCACTGTTTGAGTTTGTTCCTTTCACAGACTATGAGCCTGGGGGCCACACTCTGGCTGGAAGAGGCCGGGGAGGATGCACTTCCCGTCTAAGGAGAATGGCTGGACACAGAGACCAGTTAGTCTGAGCCAGAGGTTCCTTCAGGGCTCCCTGTGACCCCACACCTCCCTTGCTGACACTCTTAGTGGAGAGATTTAAATGTTTCTTTAAATCATACTACACTGTAATGATTATGGATTAAATGGAACATCTCAGGCCGCAGGGCTGTCGATCTGAAGTCTTACCTATGCACAGAGCTTTGGGAAGAGGAAAAAGGCATACAATGGAACACACAGGCCAGATTACTGCTCTTCTCTGCTTAGCACAACAGGCAGGCCCTACAGTGGACTGGGGGAGGGAGATACAGATATTAGTTACACAATACAAAGGGCTCTGTGGCCTCACAGGCCTCCAAAATAGATAATTAAAAAAATAACGCTGTGCTTGTGTTCAGTGTCATGGGTCCATTCTCCCTGCCTCTGTGGATGAAAAGTCATAGGTATTTAGATTTAATACCTCTAGAACACCAACTATGGGTACACATATAGGTACTTCTCGGAATTACCCACTGAGATTACAAACTTGCAAATGGCTGTAAGGATGTTTAAACATTCTTAGATAGAGTAGATACTGAGAAGACAACATTAAAACTACCATAAAATCATATTCTCTCTGCAAATAAAACAAAACACTTTCATTCAGTTCCATATGAAGGTTATGACCAAGGATGACGATAAACTACATATATACCTCTAGAGCAGGGATGGGGAATGTCCCGCCCAGGCCGGATAAGGCCCGAGAAATCATTTGGCCTGTCCCTGCCAAGGCATCAGGGATGAGTTAATTAAATGTTTGACCAAATAGAGCAGGCTAATTTTTAACTTGATAATTTTGTATGACCCGCGAATAATGTTATAAATATCCAAATGGCCCTTGGCAGAAAAAAGGTTCCTCACCCCTGCTCTAGAGCAACCATGTTGCCCCAAAGGCACATCATAACAATTTTCACTTGAAATAATCATTTTCATGTAAAAAATAACTGAGAAGGTCAGGAAAGAGATGGGTAGGGGAGATCTGTTGATTACAGTTATCTATTTTTGATTCTTTCAAATTAGGGCCTATGTAACTGCAACTAGGGAGCATATATACACAAGGTACCTTACATTCAAATCTATAAACTCTTTTATAGTCAAAATAAACCTTATACATTAGCATTTTTTACACTCAATACCAGAAAACATTCAGTGCACATTAAAGTGATCTGGGTCAAAAGCCACTTTATTTGCTGTATCTTTAAATCTATCTGCCCTCCTGCCCTTGGCTTGCGCTAGGTGGCAAGGTCACCCAACACTCACCCAACCTTTAGTCTGATGGATCGTTGTTGTTTTTTGTAGTCTTGACAGTTATATCCCTTCCTGTCATGAAAAATGCTGTTTAAACTTTATCATTTTGGATAATTAAATTGATTTTTCAAATATGTTCAAACACTTCCAGAAAAGAGGTCCATTCAGAGACATAAACACACAGTAAAACACATCGCCTTCTAACTCGGCCCTTCCGTTTGGGGATCCCAGATGACCACTCATGGAAAAGACATGGATTTTGTCCGTGAACCCTCCTGGGAGAGATCAACTTCAGAAGATACTTCTGCAATCTTGTCTGCAGATTCCATTCCTCTCAAGAAAAAGGAGAGAACATGAAGGAACTCAGAAGTACTCTTCATCACAGAGGATGTGGTTGATCCCATCAGTTTCTGAGCTTGAGAGGGAAGTGTCCTTGGGACGTTTCTTTAGAATGACAGAGCCGCCTGGTGACCTCATCAAATTCTGCTTGTAAAGAAGGGCCTTGAATAGATTTCTCACTCTTCCATGGATTAAAAAAACAGAGTTCAAAACATCAGGTTCTCTCCCCGGCCAGCTGTTTGGGTAACGCCACCGTTACTGCACACTTGTGGCTTTAGGTTTCTTTTAACCCTTCGTTAAAAGGTGAGGCTTCCCAGCCCAACTGCTAGAACCTCCCAGCCTCTCCCTTCCAAGTCAGCGCAGAATAACCTGTTGGGACTCCCACATCCCACTGATGATGAATGTCCTTAGTACGCAGTGTGAAAGTTTCTTTTTTAGCAAAACAAATTATTCATTTCACAGATACAGGTGGCTGCAAAATTTTGATAAAGAACAAAACTTTAGGCCACAAGGGGTTAGAGTAGCAATTTTCAACTGGTGTGCCTCAAGAATGTTTAAAATATGCAATACCTGACTATTTAGTCAGGGGCACTGACCACTTTTCTCTTAGATTGTCAAATTAAAAAAAAAAAAAAAATAGACAACAGTCAACACAATAATAGCCATCCGGTGTCAACGAATCAAAATTATATCATTTTTTTTTTTTGCCAGATCAGCAAGAAATACAGTTTTTGGTGAGCAGCATAATTTTAGTAATTAGTTTATGGGTGCCATGAGATTAAAAAGGTTGAAAATCACTGGGTTGGAGTATTCACAAGTTGGGAACCACCAATACAGCAGCAGCCTGTTGTTTCAGGCATCTTTGATGCACTTGCTAAGTCTCAGCAGGATGTATTTCTGTGGAGCTCACAGGCCTCCAAAGGGAAACCAGCAGATGTGCTCCTGCACTGAAATATGTTCTCCTGGAGGCAGCCACTGTAGCCCCCAGGAGAACAGTGAGCAGGTTGGAGGACCCCCGGGGAGCAGCCACGGCATAGAGGGCCTGCAGGCAGGACAGCTGCCCTACTGGATGGTGATCCTGCAAGCAGTGGAGGCCTTGAGTTTTGCTGGGCGTGTGTCCTCCTGGTCAACTAAAGACCCAATAAAACTGCCTCCACACTATGCACAGTTTAAAGGGATGTCACATGTTTTGGACAAATACCAATTATGGAGACACATTTACAGCACTGACTACTACTATATTTACAACATCACCTGCTTCTACTCTTTAGAGATCATCTGATGGATAACAATGATGTGACTGTGACTGACTGTTTTGAGGCATTTGGCAAAATACACTGTGTGGAACAGCTGCTTTTTAATTTTAAAAATGTTGACATATGTACAATTGTCCTGATATGCTGATATAAATATGAAAAGTAAAAAAAAAAACAACACACAAAAAACCTAAAAATACATGTTTAAAGTTAGCATATGGGATATTGGCCTCTCAAAGCGTTAAAGTCCTGCAGAAAAATCCTATATGCCTTAGCCCTGCATGCTAGTGTCTATTATGGCATGTTGTTTCCTTAAATGTGGAAAACAATAAACTGAAGCATCATGCACACAGTATCACTGTCTACACAGCAAGGATGGGCCTCAGAACACCAAGTTCTGAATCCACTATTGTCCCTTAGAAAACTTGCTACATTTGGGTCGTGTGAGTTAGTTTTAGCGATACTTCTACATATATCTGTCATGCGGATTGTCCATTAATATACCAGGACCTTTACTGTTCCATGTTATAGTGTAACATTTCAGTAGTTCTTCTCAGGGTTCAGTTAAATCCTAAGCCAGTGACGAAAAGAAAACGGTCTCCAGATGTGAGACTCGGCTTCTCTGTCAGGCATCTCCAGGGGGTTCGTAGCGTCTGGAGAGCAGATAGATTTGCAGTGATTCCGTGAGGCTGGGTGTCTATAAAAGTTGAAGTAAACAGTTTCGATGTGTCACATGTAAACAGTTGATCTTAAATGGATGTCTCCCAGAGCTGCACAACAGAGAAAAGCAAATTGCACACTGTGAAGGCAGGAAACAGACGTATTGTGAGCTATGAAGATGAGAAGGATTTGGTGACTCCACCCATACTTATGTGATTGTAGACACACACGCTAATGTGTAATTTAAGAAGTCTAATAAATGGATAAAATAAACACTAATTTTTAGCGCTTTCTCTTACCTCTAAACCTATATCTCAACCTTTTTAACAACCGTCATCGTTTAATACAAAATGACTCCTCTCATCCTCATTTGTGTAACTCAGAGTTTTGAATACATTAAAGATGGTCTCAAATGAAATACTTTAAAATATTGTTTCTTTAAACTACCCCCTTCTTTCCCTGAGATTCTGAAATAGCCAGCTGGAGCAGTGGTTCTCAGTCCACCGGCACAGCTCAGTGGTCTGGGGACATTTTTTAAATCCCACTTCCTGGACAATGCACCAAACCAGTCTCTTTAAGTGGGACTCAGGCCTCAGACAATCCCACGTACAGCCAACACTGAGTACTGACCTCAGGGAAGTATGATTCCACCACCACCCACTTCAAAATCACTGCCCTGGGCCCATGACCAGGTTATACACCCTCCAATTCCATCTCTACCGCCTAGAACAGTGTCTTCTCCTGGGAGCTGACATGTCAGAGTACAACGATGCATCCAGGGCAGGACATCAAGGCCTAATTCCTCACCTCTTCCCTCTCCTTGCCTCTGCCACCAGCTCTTTATATTGGCCCTGTTCATATCTAATTTCTATGATGTTCAGTAATTGCCTTAATGGACTGGAAGCAACTTTGGCATGATTAAATATGAATGTAACTCAGTTCACCAGAGAAGGAAGGCCAATTTTTAAAAAAATATCTAGCTGATAAATTATGTTTCCAGACAATATGATTTGGGTATAATTATTATAAACATGAACAAAGAAAGCCTAAGGGTGACTTAGGTTGCATCCAATTTCCACTTTTACTGGAAGTCTGGGGCATATAACTAATGAGTTTCTGGGAATGAAAACAAAGAAATAACTAAAGAACTAAATGGATATTTCTATATAGGTTCCCTTGATATGTTCTCTTGAATCTTCATGGATTCTTATGCTGATGCCCAGGCTGGCGACCCCACAGAACTGTGGTACAACCACCAGTGTTATCGACCTCAGGTCACCTTTAGATGTCCTTCTCACTTAAAAAGACAGCCATCTCCTCACACTTTGTAAACCAAATCTCTAACTGTGAGGATCATTGTGGGGGGATAATCCATGTTGGTGAAGACAAGTGACTATGAATGGCTTGTAGGAGTTTGAGGGAAGGAAGATCTGGATTGATGCTCACAGGATGGCATGGGGTAATAAAGAGTTCAGGCTTCAGTGAGTCCAGTTTCCTCACAAATGGTTAGGAAGATTAAAAAATAAGTGACAGCCCAGCACACTTGGCTCAGTGACTGAGTGTAGACCTATGAACTAGGAGGTCACGGTTCGATTCCCAGTCAGGGCACATGCCCAGGTTGCAGGCTCGATCCCCAGTGTGGGACATGTAGAAGGCAGCCAATCAGTGATTCTCTCTCATCATTAATGTTTCTATCTAATGTTTTTCTCCCTCTCCTTTCCTCTCTAAAATCAATAAAAAGTATATTTAAAAAAATAAATAAATAAAAAATAAGTGACAGCTTGCCAAAGGAACAAAGAAACGACACTGGGAAAACCTGAAGGCCACGATGACCCCTGACAGGACAAAGAAGCTAAAAATTGCCACGCCATCACTTTTAGGACAGTGCATGACCTTGGCCATGTCTGTATCACTGTAACAGAGGGGTTGCTGATAGAAAGATCTGCTGGTTATGCCCTAACCAGTTTGGCTCAGCGGATAGAGTGTCGGCCTGAGGACTGAAAGGTCCCAAGTTCGATTCTGGTCAAGGGCATGTACCTTGGTTACGGGCACACCCCCAGTGGAGGGCGTGCAGGAGGCAGCTGATTGATGTTTCTGACTCTCTATCTCTCTCCCTTCCTCTCTGTAAAAAAAAAAATATATATATATATATATATATATATATATATATAGTTTTTTAAAATATATTTTATTGATTTTTTACAGAGAGGAGGGGAGAGGGATAGAGAGTCAGAAACATCGATGAGAGAGAAACATCAATCAGCTGCCTCCTGCACGCCCCCTACTGGGGATGTGTCCGCAACCAAGGTACATGCCCTTGACCGGAATCAAACCTGGGACCCTTGAGTCCGCAGGCTGAGGCTCTATCCGCTGAGCCAAACCGGTTAGGGCAATAAAATATATTTTTTTAAAAAAAGATCTGCTGGTTTGATTAGCCACAGCCCACAAAACAGCCTGAAGACAGGGGCTGCCTATTCTGCAGGACCCTGTTATCCACTCATGTGGATGGTCCACAGTGGACAGAACCAGCCAGGCCTTTCACACAACTGTCCCAGAGGCTACAGTCTTTACTGCTCCCCATGCTGCCCAGGAAGGGGCCATGGTCAGTCATGTCTTCTGGGGATTGGTCATTCTCAGGAATTCTCCTGCGGGAAAGTTTCTAAAACCCCGCACCCTGGCATGACACCCCAACTTTCTAGCAAAAGCAGCAATGAAGACAATTTATCGGGGAGAGATACTCGGCAACTCCCCGGTGAGGGAAGGAGTGAGATCGCCTTAGATTTTATAACCACATACACATATCATGAAAAGCTGGATGCTTATTAACAAGCCCCTCTTTTAAGGCCTGGAAGTTGAATACTGGGAATCTGAGTTATATATTTTTAAAAAATATATATTTATTGATTTCAGAGAGGAAGGAAGAGGGAGAGGAGAGAGAGAGATAGACACATGAATGCTGAGAAAGAATCACGATTCCCAGGCATGTGCCCTGACCAGGAATGGAACTGTGACCTCCTGGTTCTTAGGTTGACGCTCAACCACTGAGCCATGCCAGCCAGGTATATCTGAGTTATCTTCTTCCTTTTCATCTTTTATCATTTTCCAAATTAACATATAAAGATAATTTTTATATAATTAACAAAGCACCGTTGATTGTTTTTAAAGTCTTTTTTATTTAGAAATCAGCTTATAATGTGTTTTCTTACTGACTTTGAGTTGAGGGAGTTAAAATTTGAATGATCCACATTTACCTTGAACTCCATAAATTCGGTTCAGGATCAAAGAAGCTCTGGAATATTTTTCAAAACCAAAGGGCCTAGGAACCCAGGACACATTAGCAGATAAACCTGCCAGGCTTTTAAAAATTTATTTTACTTTTTTTGCAAAATTATCTCTGAGAAGATCAACATTATAATGTTACTGACCACAACAGAGCCAGGACATCAATTAAGGTAATTATTCTTCAATTATATTTGTCACTTAAGCCTTGAAGGGCTGGTCTGCCTCTCTAAACTCCACTGTATCTCACTTTTCACATAATGGATCTATTTGGGAACAATGGATCTAATCTGTAAGACTGATTAGCATCATGATTAAGATGTAAAAGAGGACTTAGTATTTAAATGAAATATCTGGTGAACCTTATATTTATAAAAATAATCAACTCAATGAATATTTTTAAGTCTGGCTTTTTGTTGTTGTTAATTCTCATACAAGGATATTTCTCCATTGATTTTTAGAGAAAGTGAAAGGGAGAGGGAGAGACAAAGAGAGAGAAACATCAATGTGAGAGAGACACATTGATTGGTTGCCTCCCACACATACCCTGACCAGGGCCAGGGGATTGGGCCTGCAACCCAGGCACATGCCCTTGACCAGAACTGAACCTATGATACTTCAGTCTGTGGGCTGATGTTCTATCCACTGAGCCAAACCAGGTAGGGCTAAATCTGGCTTTTTAAAATATAAAAGGTTGCTAAATTTCACCCTACCTATTGTCTACTCTAAATATTACAAATTTTGAAGTCCCCTTTCTTTGTTGCCAAATTCCACCCCCATCTCCAAGACACTGATCTGATTTACTACTTCTAAAATCCTATTGGGTGTTATTAGCCAGAAAAAGGCCTGAGTAAGCAAACTGGGCTCTCTGGCAGGTAGTAATATATTAGCTACACTGAATAATGAGATGTAAATATGTAGCAATAAATCCTTAATATACACCAAATATTTCTAGAATCTATCAATGCAGGGATTAAAATAATTTGCAAATATAAATCTGAGCCTCAATGCCCCCCAAATCGTGTATTTTTCAAACTTAATGTTTTGCTTTTGCTTATGAACAAAGAGGAAAAAAGAGCTCTCTCTTTGAAAAGGTGAACTCACAGATACAGGGTCATGACCGATGACATTAGCGTACGGAGGAAGTTTCCACATACCCTGGCACTTTGTCGGTTCGCTTTCTTCTCCTCGTCGGGAAGTGGAGGCATTGGGTAGGGGTATTTTCTGCTGGAGGCAATAGACCCAGTTGATGAAGATGGAGACTTGGCAGGAGATAAAGTCCTGAGACGTTTGAGAACACATGAAGTAAATATTATGTGATGGCCGAATGTCTTTTTCAAATATCTGAAAAGTGGGTTCAGAACGAACCCTCTGACTTCTCCTTTCATAGGCCACTACTGCAGAGGGTTAGCTATTGGGAGACAACGTCATTCACAGCACTGGAATGCTGGCATTTTACCTTCCTAACCTATAGCTGCAATGGACTTTTTAAATGTTAGTACACAGAATCATACTTTCAACTAGAAAGCCAAGAATGGAGTGTCCTATGGAATAAAAAGCTAAAATGGAGAAGGGATAAAATTATTCTAAGAGCTCATAATGGTGAAATTAAGTATACAACATCTCAATAGTCTGCCTTATTTTTACCACATAAATTAAAAAATATATATATTTTTAGCACGGTTATTCCAATTCTATTTTTAAGGCCCCCAAATACAATACAAATGCTACATTTATTAGTTGCTAAGTCACACACCAGTTTACACAAAACTCATGCATTCAGAGGCCAATGTGTTAGTTGTGAAAGAACAAAGGCAAATACAGTGATTTTAATAATAAATTAGTAAACATGCAAGCAGTAAGGAGTGCAGAGTTACAGCCAAACAAAGAGTCTGATGAGAACATACAAAAATGGTCTGATTAGTCCCTCCAATCAGCATGTCTGCAGGGGAGGATTCTAGGCCATAGATGTGGATCTTGCTAACTCATGTAGGTACACTTGGTGTGTCAATAAGGTGGCTATAGTGTGATTGGAATTTTACTAAAAACTAAAAAATAACACAATGACAAGACCCCTTCCTATTTGGATAACATGTGTTCTCTCCATCATGGAGATGCTCCAAATGAAAGATTATATATAAGCTCTTGGCATATTATGTTGTTCTTGTTGATTGTGCACGTGTGGTGGTTAATATTTGTGACTAAACAGAGCACACTGGAAGAGTCCATATTTGCCATCTTGTCTTTAAAGTTAATAAAACAAAACAAAACAAAAAAACCCAGCTAAGAGTGAAAAGTGTCACCTCATAACATATCAGTGGAAGATAGATGTGATGATTTAGCAGTAGCTATCCATTCATAAATGTCTACACATGGATGTGACTACACATCCATGACTCCTCAGTTCCTGGTGCAAAGTGGTAATGACCTACACAACTGAATTGCTTACACTGTCACATTAGAGCTCAAGTACTGATTTCTGAAGAATGCACCTCATCAGCTTCCTGTGAGTGACTGACTCCACCAGGGTGCATGGGGCGGGGGTATAATACTGGCTAGGAGAAGATCTGCATCCTATACCGTATCCAATGGCATAAAGATGTCTTTCTTCCTTCCTTAGTTTAAATTTTAGTTCCCATCCATACATTATCCTTTGCTCTGGTTCTGTCATGGTTTTCAAATCAGTTTCCGTTTTATGAACACTGAATGCAAGCTACTGTTTTAAAATATTTTTTTCCTACAAACCCTGAACGTTCTCGCTCAATTTTAAGAATCAAGAGTGATTCCGTTCGCTTTTAATCTAGAATTCCTAATGTTCCCTCTGTTTTTGAGAAATGTCCAGAACCACTCCTTAGTGTGACTTAGACTATTTAGACTGGACTTCTCTTGTGTCAATGCTCTCCACTGTGGAGCATGTGGGTAGAACGAAGAATGTTAGTACTTCAAATCCTCTAAAGTACTATTAAAGTGATATACTACAACATAATTTTCTAACTCAGAAACTAATGATTTCTAAAACAGGACTATGAACTTTAGTAAACAAATTCAATATATGTGGAATGAGGACAAACTTTTGTATTTAAATACAACTTTCTAAAACAAGGGACATTAACCTCCATTCAGATTTTTAGCCTAATCACCACTGAGAAGATATCCCAGTTCAAGAAAGCTAGTCAGATACACAAACAACTAAATCTCAGTTACTTTAGGGGATCATGCAAGACTAGTTTAATTTGCTGCAGTATATGTGTCCTTAACATGAGCCATTAGCTTATAGCTTCAAAGTCATGCCAGCCATTCACTGGGCCATGAGTGGAAATGACCAGCTTTGTACACATACATCGCCATTCCAATGAGGACTACAGTCCAGTCTTCCCCTCAAATACCTTCCCATGACCAAAGCCAATAATGACTTCAAAGAGGCGGTATTCTCCAGAACCCCAAAGAAACTGCACATGAACACATAGGCTAACTGATACTTGGAACCTGAGGGGAGAGAAGCTAAGCAGGTAGGTTTTGTTTAGGGGAGGGGCATGGGGTCCTGGAGGTTGGGTGGAATGTGAGAGCATAAAGGGGATTATCTTGGGGTGAGGGGGATGGAGAGCCCCAGAGTAGGAGTCAAAATAAGAGTTGAGAACAGGGCAGGATAAATCAGTTTAGGGAAAACAAAAACAAACTTGACATTTCTTCCCAACCACCTCTAGGCTCTTTTCTGACCCTGGCTACTTGCCCGGTGGTTTCGATCGCTTTCACTGACACCCAGGCATGGGCCCAGCTTATTCACTGACAAAGCAATCTTTGGGCAAATGCTACCCATTAACATCACTGCATTTTTAAAAACCATCATAACCATAGAGGGTGCCATTTAGAATTACACAATGGAATTGTGCCTGTGTGCCAGTGCATTGTGGTGTGTGTTAGGGCTGCAGCAGATTTCCTGGGCTTGCCTTTAGGAGATACGCCTGTAAGGCCAATCTCAGTCCACTTCTGCCCCCCAGCACAGTTACACGCAAGGGACACAGGTCCACCTCTTGGCTGTGTTCACATGCAAATTTAATGGTAGCCTAATCCTGAGGGGTTTATCAAGTATCCTAGGATAGGATGTACGTAGTCAATGCCCACCCTGTTACTTTTAGGTAATTACAGTGAAATGGAAAGGGAATAGATTTTGGAGTCAGAGCCAATTCTGGTTCTAAAACTGGCTGTGCTACCTTGAGTTACTCTTTGTGCCTCAGTTTCCTCCATCCAGAGAAAGGGAATAAGAATACCTACATCTCCTGATGTTGTGAGAAATAAGGCACGCAGTACATGACCATTATTAAGTTCATTTTCAGAGTCACAGCATTTTCCATGAGGTCATGGGAGTGGACTCAAAATCTGGCGATGAAGTGAGTAATCCATCCGCTAATACCCAAGAGTAAGGATACCTCCCAGGGGCTTGTAAAGCCCTGTCACCCACGGAACTACCTCCAGGATCTAGGTGTGGGGAGATCATTCTCTTGCCCTGACCCACCCACTCCTTCCTAAAGTCTGGAATGTATGCCCACGACAACCTGAGCGACCAGTCGCACGAGCACTGGGGAAGGGAGCACAGCTGAGGCACTCTGATCACTCGGTGTCTTTTGGCATTTGCTTTGCTCTTTGTGGTGATGTGATTCCTATATGTTAAAGGGCTGGCTGTATTCTGGACCTGTTTCCTGCATTCACTAAGTCCCCATTGCATTTTGGTAACGATGCCAGAAACCTCACACCACACAGGGGTCCTTAATAAAGAGACCTTTGCCCTCATTGATGGTTTTGACAGGAAACGTGATCCTGAATGACCTGGCAGCCAGTGAAGCAGACCTGAGCTTAAGCATAGGGTTGGCAAAGAGCGTCAGCCAAGGCATGGATGCACTCGGGGCCTGCGATGTGAGGCATGGCTTGGATGGAGAGTGGATGAAATTCTTTCTGTTGCATTAAAATCCTCGTGCGGAAAGCCCTGGGGTATCTCAATAATTCACCACTTCCACAGAAATTCTGTATTGATTACCCTTAACAAACCAAAAAACATTACTTCTTAATATGACTATCCCCTGTGGAAACCCACATCTCATATTACCAGAGGCGATAAAGGAACCCTCTAAACTTGCCCTTGCAGCTTTGCACGTGCAACCGGGGGTGCTAAAGCCACTCCCCATCCAACTTGAGTTTAGTCATGCAGCTTCTGGGCAGACCTGGGTGCCGATTGGAAGAAATGTGAACTCCTCTCTGGGAGCCACATACACTACTCAGCTCACCCAGGGGAGGTGAATCAACTCTTCCGGGGTACCATTTCATAAATTGTTGCTGCAAAATGCTAAGTCCACTTAGGCATAACAGCCCTAGCCCACATAGGACCAAAGATGTTCTCTTTTGGTTCCATGACTAATACAAGTTATAATCTGCCCACAAGCCTGAGGAAGACAGAGAGGAGAAACGGGACTGCAGGTAAGCCAAGATTCCAAATAACATTCCAAACCATCTTACCTGTCTTCCTGACGCTGGCCATCTTGGGAGCTACAGGTGAGGGCGGGATGTTTGAATGTGAGTGTATGTGTATGAGGTTCAGTGGGAAAGTGGTATAAGCAGAGGGACAGGGCAAGAGGGAAAGGTGGGGTATAAAAGCAGGATATATTTCTGTGAGCAGGCAGGGATTATGCTTTCCTTGGGGCATATGCGAATGTATGGATCAAATTCAAATGCAGGCAGGTCTAATCATTTTCTCAAACTATACATGTCTAAACTAAATGGTACACAGGAAGAGAAAGTCCACCTTACATGGGTGCTGAGAGTTAAATCCACATTTATATTTTGATATCTGTTAAATGCTGACCCAAGTCATGGCAATCAATAATCAAAAGCTTATAGTTAAGTTGTGTTCAGCAGAGGTAGCAGTCCAGCTTATATTTTCTTCTTTATATTAATTGTCACAAAGTAAAAATGGACATTTGTCTTTAGGAAATCACTCTGCTATTATAAAGAGTGAAAAAATGCCATTGAGAGCTCTTGGAAATTCTCTTTGAGTTGCAGTGAATTGAGTAAATATGCTAGTTTCTAAAATGTACAGATGCTCTACCTGCTTGTTTGTGAATCAAGGGCATGCTGCAGATCTGCTTCCTGTTCTATCTGAAGTGTTAGACACAGCATTTTTATTGGAATAAAAAAAAATTCCTTAGCTTTGCTGAGAATCTGTAAAGCACTTGTCAGCACAGCCCTACTCTGGTAGCAAATGGTTGTACTGAACAAATACAACCTAAACTCATTCCATACACTCTCACGTGGCCAATATTCTCTCAATAATTTTCAAGTTACAGCTAGTCATGGCTTTTACTCGAAGTAAAATTTCACCAATTGCATTTAGTTCCTTTTCGTATTTTTCCTTGAGTTTTCGTATGCACTATGCACTCTTAAGGTGGTAAGTAGGAAAAATGCACTATGGAATAAGTAGATTCTAGAAATTAAATTGCTCGGGTTAATAGTGCTTCTTTATTAGTGGAAAGGATGTTTCATGCCCATAGAACACTACATAGCATAAAATGAACAGAAAGCTACTAAAAAGCTCAAGATGGTAACAAGGACATGCACTAAGTGGCAACCCTTTCAAGTGGCTTCATTCGAAACATTCAGAAAAGAGCTAGACTTGCTCATGAAGCCCAAAACAGAGAGAGATCAATCAAAAGGCAGCAAAGAAACAAGGACCCTCTCCACCTCTGGGAACTTGTATTGGGAGATACAAGATGGAGAGCCAGTCACACTACAGTATTTGTATGTGCTGGGAGAGTTTGAAAAGGATATAAAATTAATTTATAAAATACCTAAAGTATGGTCCTTCAGTGTTTTTATTCACATCTTCTACCCACTTAGCTACATTATAGTCTCTTTTGAACCATGGGCTTAAATACCTGCAGAAAGCAATGGAAGGAACAAAGAAAGCAGAACAAGATAGAAAAATCTGAAAACACACAGCACAAGCTTAGCAAGGATGTTCTTCACCCTCCAAATGCAAGTGACTATGGCAAATAAACCAGGATGGATGTTGGGTGGTTATGAGGCAGTCGGTACAATCACATGAGCAGAAACTCAGCTACCACCAGGCTCACGGCATTCTAGAACCGATTCACATTTCAGGAGAGCCTCTCCAGTGGTTTCCCAAAGGGACTCAGAAGCTCTTTCAATTATAGTGCTGTGAGCAATCCCATTCACCCACCTCCAAAGGGGCCTTTTCCAGGCCACCTCTCATTGGGCTCCTTGGTTTTCAAATGGTAATGGCACTTTCTGAGAACCCTGAGGGCTGCCATTCCAACCTGGTTTTTGGGCACATCCCCCAAGAATAATGGAAAGGAGTCACGTTCTCTTTCCAATATGAAAGGGAAGACTTTAAATGGCCTCTTTCTCCTGATAGCAGATCCCAAGCTGGAATTTAACAAGAAAGGTGCTCCAGTCAGCTCTAGAAGGAGCGGGAAAGGTCTCACTCTTCTGATTCTGGAGCCCCAACGCACATTCATCGTGGTCCCAGCAGGCCTCCGTGACCTTGAGGCTGGGTTTAGTAATTGAGGTGCGGCTGTCATGGTCCTTCCTCGTCCGCTTGCACCCCAGACTAAAGTGTTCATTTTCCATTGTGAAAGGGCCCTCACAGGTTACCTTCTGAGGGTGTGGGCACCGTGTGAGTGATGGGCAGCAGATAATAATGGCCGAAGGTAGCATTTCCCAGGCGGATCTGGCAAAGTCTCCATCAGAATTAATCACAAAGGAAAATCTTAAAGGCAGTAAAATTGGGAGTGCAAGTTTTGTTTTCTTTTCACAGTTTCCTTTTATTTTTTACCCTGGGGGAGAGTTGCAGACTTGCGGGGGGGGGGGGGGGGGGGGGAGCGGCAAGCAAAAGCATGTTCCCTTAGTATTTGCCCTCTTAAAATAAACCTAGATTCAACAAATTCAGCCTTGGATGAATTTGGAGATTTTACTGAGTTTTCTCATTTTAAAAAGTAACTTCTAGAAACACTATAGGCAATGAAGATCAAGTTCTGTAAAACTTTTAAGGTTATTTGGAAACAAACCAGGGGAAATGATAAAATATACTATTTGTGGGTCCAGTTTGCGTCTTTCCTCCATATGTAGTTTTAGTTTGTAAATGCATTTAAGTATTTAAATGCAAATGCATTTAAGTCAAGACTATATTGTCATAGTTACATAAACAAATTAGATTTTTCCCCCCATAATCATTTCCTTTGTTTTTAGCTATACCCAATATATGCTATAAAATAGTTCACGAAGTTCCCTCCTTAGAGAAGGGTCAGGTACTTTATATGCTTATAAGACCATTTTTGCTAAGATAGTGTCCCTTGATTCTGGAACAACTCACACTAGTTTTGCCTTTAGCCACAATCATTGCCAACTTGTGCTTTTCACAGAGATAGCCATTAAAACTTGCATAAAGATTTCCACTGAGACTCCGAACAAAAAGAAAATAATCAAAAAGCAAGTGCAGCCACAGATGAAGACTCGTGAATGCTGGGGCCTGGGGAAAACTGTGGGAAAGCCCATGCAGCGGTTGTCATCAGGTGACACATAGCCACACAGCAAACCGGATCACCCGCAGGCAGATGGCCACATCCAAGAGACACGTGTTCCTCTCACTGACAGTCTTAGAAGCTCAGAGGACTGGTGCCATGGCCATTCCATGAAACCTGCAGCCACATGGCTTGACTTGCTCCTGACGGACCTTTTCTTTCTTCTCAGGAGCATCTCAGATGGGTGTGATCACTTCACTAGAGGTCACTGAAGAGAGCTCTCAATTGTTGCTCCTCCCGGGGATCTGCTGTGACAGTGTCATCACAGCGGGCTTCCTAATACTCTAGGTCGTGGTGGCTGGAGTGATGGGGTTTTATCAAACTGCTATAAACCTGCCTATGTGGCTTGACTTGGCTTGTAGCGCAACATGCAAAAAATAAAATAAAATGCATTAGACAGGAGAGGAGAGCTCTGTGTGCTCTCCAGGAGAGAAAGGCAGAGGAAAACTAGCTGGTGCTGGCTGGACCAGGACCACTTCTGAGCAGACGTCAGGGGTCCGTCAGAGATTAAATGACCCTGTTCTCAGCCAAGGAAGGGACTTGGAGGGAGATTAAGTGGCAGCCCAGAATGGAGGGGCAGGTGGAGACTGACCTGTGATCCAGACTCCCTGTCTGGGGGCTGTCAGAGCCCCCTGGGCTTATGCCTTGGGATGGGACTGTCTGGGCGAGGGAGTGCCCAGGCTCAGGTGCTTGGGGCTCCCTCCTGTAAAAACACAATATATAATACAAAGTCTAAGCCAAAAACTGGTTTAACATCACGTACAACAGTGAGGAAGATGCAAAAGCTTTCAGGGGGGAAAACAATACATTAAACCAGGATATCTTGTGTTGTTAATTAGCAGAGTATGCATTCGTGGTGCATGTTTTAATTTATGTCCCAATGTTTCATCATCCTGTGGGATGATGAGATACTAAAAGGAATGTTGAAATAACAGATCTGGTAATACCTCTTAGTCTAAAAAAATTAAAAAGATGTGTTTTTCCATGGTCATTCTGCTCCTCATACGGTCACACAAATGATGTTGTTATATCAGAGGCAAATGGGATTATTTAACAAATATGGAAAGGATTAAAAAAACTTGTCAATATAATTCTTGATATGCTATGTATTAGTATTCCTTCTAAGAAAAAAATATATATGCAGTACAGTGCCTGTACAACAGGTATGTGGTCAGCTTCACAGACGTGGCTCCATTTAGGTAACATGAGACATGTAACCCAAATCTGGAAAGTCTGAAAATTCTGAGGGAATCCTTTATATTTCTTCTTCGTAAAGATAATTCCATTATGATCGCTTATTAAATGTTATAACTGAATTATCTCACAGGCAAGATTTCTCAAGGGCAAGCTAGCAGCATAATATTTATCATATGATGCAAGTGGGAATTTTACAGAAAAAATTGTAAAAATAAGTGATCGCTCTAAAAAACACTGTTATGAATCTTGCTCAACACCAAGTATCCTTTGGGTCCTAAACTCACAGTTTTAATATAATGTTGGATCTTTTTTCTTAGTCACTTGAGTTTTCAAAGCATTGTTATACGAAATACTGTTAGAAAACTAAACAGTAGGAAGTTCTGAAGAACATTTTGCAATTTCATCTATACTACTGTGAGCCACTGGGATAAGTTAAGGAGCCCTTCACCAGGTGACCTCATGCAAAATAAATCAAACAACATTCCAAGAAGAGTTTATCCACAATGAGTCCTAAAGCATCCAAGCACTTTGGGGATGTATAAGATAAACTCTAATAGATTAGTTATTTATGATGGAGTTCTATGATGCCATTCTGGGCCATGCAATGGTATCACTTGAACCTATCTATTGTTTCTATGGTAAAATATCCTCTAGGAAACTTCGACAAGCCACTTACAAGACAATACCATCAGCAGGAAGGTCCGAATTTCAGGGCAATGTTATTGTCCTGGACTGAAAAAGGCAGGGTATACGATGGGAAAGCTAACATAAGTTTCTGAGAAGCAGTTAACCAATACCTGCTATTCAGATTTTTTAAAATATTGAAGTCATAAAGAAGCAACAGAGATCCTGGGAGGAAGAACTAGCGCTGAACTGAGATATTAGTAAAAAAAAAAAAAATTTAAATGGATCAAAAAAACATGGTTAATTAAAACCAGGTGGTAAAAATCCAGAAGCAGGGCCAGGTGTTTTATTCCATGGGGTTTGGGGAAGCTTAGTTTTGCTTGTACTTTATTCAGTGGAGAAACAAGCAAACACAAAAAATGTGTTTAACTCATTATAAATGACTTAAATGTAACTTCAGATCCCATCCCCACTTTTTTAAAAAAAATGTGGCTATCCTTCAAAATGGATAGTGTTGCATTTAGTGACAATGATTCCGTTAAAGAGCAAGTTTAGGTAAATGCCCTTATAAATGTCCCGGGAAGAAAAATTTAAAGGGGAAAGGAATTCCATTAGTCTGAGAGAATGCTTAGCGTGCTGCCAGGAAGCCCGGGAGAGGTGGTGTCCCCTGTGAGCAGCATCATGCTCTAGGACAGTGGGAATTTCCCCCGGATGCTTCTAGGCTGTGTGACTATTGGGGAGAGGAAGGGTGACCCCTCTGAAATGGCTGGACCCCAGGGGATGAGAAGAAAGGAATGTTATCAAAATTCCCTTCAAACGCAACCAAGACACCACAATGGCAGGGAACTGGAGCAAAAAGCCTGCAGCGAGGGCCAGACCCCACGCTGTCAGTGAATATGGCTTTGGGCACAGTTGCGGAGATGCCTATGTAAAAGAGAAAAGCCATGGTTAATTTTAAAATGGCAAAAAAAGGAACTGAAAAGACAAAACCACGGCCAGAGGCATGGTTTACAGTTCTCTGGCGAGCTGGTTAATTAGCTTTCCACACTAACTGCACAGGACCTTGGATGATAGCCTTTTTCCAGGAGAGGTGCAGACTTACTCAGTGGAATTAGACCGAGGTCTAAATCTTTTGCCTCTGATTTTCTTTCTGTTGCCTCCCACATTACCTGAAAAAAGATAGGTTATAGCTAGATTTGAATATAAGTAATTTAAAAAACCCACCATATGTTTAATTACATCGTATTTCAAGTGGGTGTCATTTACAGCTGGCATCACCCAGAGCACAGCGCTTTACAGCTCTGTACAACCTTCCCAATGTGTCTAGTGCGCTGGTGCTATCAAATCCTCTCATTTCCCATCCAAGAAAATAAAAAGAACTGAACTCATAGTAAATGCCCTTTCTCCACTGGGAGAGGAGCTAAAGAGCTCACAGAAAAGAACAAGTCTTTACAATCAGGAGCCACAGAATATAGAATTTGGGTCATGTGGACAGATGGGTTCAGAATGCCACCCTGTACCTTGCCAAGAGTTACTTCGAGGTCGCCCATTTTCACAGATGTCTGTATGCTTTGTGTCTGGAATCCTTTCACTCCAAGAATGAGAGAGTCCGTTTGACCTGAAATTGAAAATGTGTATATATTGTGCAAAAATATAACCCAATGAATGTTTAGAAATCATTAAGCAAAACTTGTAAGTGTTGCTGTGCGTTAAATAAATCAAGAAAGAAAAAATCTAAAATGAATGAACAGAACATGAACATCTTCATGAAAAAGGCAAAATTACACAACATTCAATTTAAGAAAAGTCAAATACAATGGAACCCCATTACAACAGTTTATCACTGCAAAGTATCAGGATACAATGCAAGCCAATTACATTCCCCAGAGCACAAACACTACACAGAGCAAATTCACTACATATTTTGGTTATACAACCCAAGTAGCGAGTTCTAATGGGGTCCCACCATAGATGTTTCTTAATTGTAAAGCAATGGTTTCCATTCAAATATTATGAGAACATGGACTTCCAAGAGATTTCATTAAGATTTGTTCTATTTAACCTGGCTAAACTTTATCAGAGGAATACTTAGTTTTTTTAAAAAAACAATAAAATTATTTTCTGAGAATTGGCATTTTCTCTCTATATATGGCACTCCCAAAATGTAGTTAACTGTCCAATAAGTGTTAACTGTTAGTTAACTTCCCAATTAGTAAACTGAGTCATATGGTTGTTATGGGAGTATCTCTCACAAAGCCCATGCACCATGAAGCCCTTCTGCTATTTAAATCAATTGTCCTGGCATCTTTAAATGAATCGTCTACAAGAAGCAAAATGTCCACACCTACCTTGAACCACATAAGAAAAGTATTTTAACAAACTACATATACTTAGGAGAAGTCACATAATCTGATACTATTATTAACTACTTAAAAGTCATAACCCATTGAGATTTTACTAAAATCTGGGAATTATTCAATTAATACTTCAAACCCTTCTTGAGCTACTGTAGGAAATAGCATTATACTTAAAATCTTTTCCACATAGTATTCAGTTAATGCTAATAATGCCTATTTTATAAGGAACTTTCTTCACTGAATAAAAATAAATCAACACAATTATTATATATGAATTCCCTAGATTGGAACTTATTCAACATCATTTGCTGATTAAGAATGATGCCCATTTTGTACAGGACAACAGAAATTCTACTGGAACCCACTGATTTCTCCACTTATTTACCATATTATTTACTTTAACATTAAATATTTGACCGAGAAAAAAAAACTTCCATGCTGAGAGAATTTAAGTAAATCTTATTCTCTTACTCAAAAAGCCCCCAATAAATTAAAATAATTTTTTTAACATCCTTCCGTAGAATTGTACTTGTTTTGAAAAAAAAAAAAAAAAAACAAACAAACACTATTTTTACTTTTGTTTTAAGCTGTGCTATCTTAGTAAAAACACCCTTTCATTCTTAAGAGAGTTCCAAGGTGGAGTTCCCAGCTCTTCTACTGTCCTTCCTGATTATTTATAAAGAGTGAAATTTTTACAGATGATTCACTCTCTTTAGAACTCCAGGAGACATCATGCTTCTTTTCAATAAACTAGCAATCTACAAAGTAACTACTATGACCAAAGTAATAATTAGGGCTATCAATCTTTTTTTCCCTATATATTATACCCCCACCAACAATTAAAAAAAAAAAATTCTCCACAGGAAAATTTTAGTGTCTTTCAATGAATGTCTTCTTTCCTAAAACATCCCACCTATTTATTTCTGCTATCAGTTTATTTTATTAAGCAATTATAAAGCATGCAGAATTCTAAATGGTGTCATACACCTTAAGTTCCTGCAACAAAAATATAGCATCCAAGTTTAAGACATATAAACAATATCTTAACCCCATCCACAATATTATAGGACTTAAAGCATTAAATATACTTAAATTTAACTGGCAACCAAGCTCTAAGTCATAAAGTCTAGAAATAATCATTTCAGGCATAAAAGGCAAAATCATAATATTCAAATATATGATTCACAGAGAAGCAGTCTTTTTTTTTTTCACAGCAAGCTTAGCTTTGATATATTTACAATTAAAACATATTCAACACAGCATTCATATTACCAATGTATTTTAACAGCTGCTTTTATCGAAGCATGACAGTAACCTTTTTCTTTGACTACCAAACATGACATAAAGCTCACCATTTAAAATATGATAGAATACTAGGTATAGTTTCTTAAGCCATATAAAGAGCAAGATTGAAAAACTTGGGTTTCTATATAGGGTTTCTATATAGAGTTAACATTATTTGTTTTGTTTTGTTTGGATTTCTGGTCTGATTTGTTAAACAAGTGGTTCTGAGCATATGGCATTTTGAATCAGAGTAATCAAAGAACAAAGGATACTATTTTTTTTTAACATTCAAGAAAGAAGGAAGAAGTAATCAAACCTGCTGCAAAATAATGAAATGTTCTGACTAATGGAATAATGTGTGATGGAACAGGTAGAAATCTGAAAATGCGACAGAAAAGCAGACCTCTTCTTAGAACTAGATGCTGAGTTTGTGCTGACTCCAGGAGGAATGTCGCTATAAAAAGAGTCGCCATCTCCAGGCTTTTTTACATAATCTCCCTGGGGTAACTGTCTAAGGCATAATAAACATTTCAGAGTCAGAAAACAAGACACACACACATGAATACAGACATATACAAATATTATTTCAGGAAAAAAAGAGGGAGGGATAATGATCTACATGAGTCAAATCCATAACAACACATGAGATTATTCATACATGTGACAAGTTCAAGTCCTCCTAGAGATCAGAAATGCAGTCGCTGAAGCCTTTACAGTCTGAATGAATAAAGCTTTGCTTTAGGGGGAAAATATAGAAAGATGAAGTTTTTCATTGTCAGTTCACTATACTTAGAGGTGTTCACTGCAGCTTTTGTCTTAAAAAAAAAAAAAAAGAAATGGTGCCAAAGGAGCCCTGTTGGACAGACAGTCCTTGCCCGGATAAGACATCGTTTTTTTCACTGTGGAGAATAAACTATTCATGATTTCTAAACATTATATAAAGTAACCTTGATTGGTCCTTTAAAAAAAAATGGATGGATTTCTAAGCTATATTCTATAACTTAATCCAAATAAACTCTTATTCAAGGTCTCTGTTCAATTTGGAACTTTACTGTTGATTGCACAAAAATATGAAGAAATTGAAAAAGATTCAAAGGTGAGTCAAACATATAATTCTATAACTGCACAGTAGAATATGTAAAGGAAGATAATTTAGCAAGAGGAGAAAAGGGTTGAAAAAGTAACTGAATCTTGATGAAATGATGGAAGGATAATTGTAGGTAACCTCGGTTCTCTATCTCCACTGTAGGAGTGAAACGGGGGAAGTCTGCCCTGTTACTGACTCTACTCACTCTGGTGATTAGCTAAGATGGGAACAGATTCCTTCCTATTCCTCTGTCTAAAGGGATAGGGTAAAAAACTTTAGATCGGACTACCTAGTCGGCCCCCTTCCTCAGTAGTTAATCTCATCACTTGCCAGTGCCTGGCCCACAAGCAGCCAACTGAATAAAACACTTGATTCAGTTCCATTCAGTACTATTGCTGGAGGGCACGGATTAGCGTTGGGTGGAGAATTTCAAACAGAGCTGTGCTGAAAAAGGTCTCCAACAATGGTGCACATTTGCTAACTCCTTTTCTCATTTGGTTTTTCCTTAGTTACCATGCTAGTCATGATTACTTGCTGATGCTAAATTCTATCCAAAATATACCACTTTCAGATGTTTGCTTCCTTAATCAAACACTGTTTCAAATGTTTGAAATACTTGGTCATTCACTCTATTAAAGTACCAAATAACCTCACTCATATTATTTCAATCCTATATATGTATTCATACATTGTTACAAATCTAAAGATTTTCTGACATAAAGTACATATATTAATTTGTGAAATTAAATCTACTCTTCCCTTTTAAAGAAAGAATTCCTCATTAAATTTATAAGACTAATTTTATCTATAATTCTTTGATACATAATCCTTCAAAATATTTTAACCCTTTAAGTTTTAACCCTTTAAGTGACTTCAGGTCATAATTGTAATCTTCCTGTTTCCCAGAACATTATGAAAAATTAATTTATTGAAAATATAATACAATTCTTCCATATTTATAGTGTTAATAATATAGGACAAATAATATATCTTCTTATGCAAGAGATCTTTAATCTCTGCAATTATATTTTCTTTCTTGCCGTGCATCAGTAAAATTGTCTATCAATGCTTGAAAAATGCTCTCAATAAAATCAAAGTTCTCTGTTGCCTTTTGAATCATATTAATATTTATAAAGGAATTGCAGAGAATATCCCATCAACATCACATAATCTTTATGTTTAACAACTCATGTTTGTCATTATTACCTTTAATGATAATCTTTCTAAGCTGATGAGATGTGGCTCACTAAATTCAAATTAAATAAAGACAAGTTCCAACTACACTTGACCTTTCCCATTAATTCCTCCGAATTACCTTCTCCTTACATGTCTCTGGCATTTAGGCATTTACTGAGGCCTCCTTAGCTGATAGCACAGGATTAAATGGATGGCACCCATTTTTTTTTTTTTTTAACTGAGCATGTTTTATCACTCCTTCATAATTTCTGTGCAGTACATACTCTTCTTTTGCACAGGGTACAAACATCTTAAATGCTAAAAATATTGTAAACTGTGCTTTTCAGTCAGAGGGCTGGAAGGGAGTTTGAGTTCAATGAATTTCTGGGACAGCTTGTTTTTTCACCCCAGCCAGATCATATTCTTAGCTATTTCAAAATACAGAACTACTTTGCATTCTTAAAATTCCATTAGTAATACATGTAACTTTCTTCACATAGTAAATACATGAAAATGTTAATGATTACTAATTTTGTTAAAGAGCTCAAGCATAAAATTGAACACCTTTCACGGTCCAGAAATGGACCCTTTTAAATACCCATCATATATTATAACAAACTTATATCTTCTTGTTTAACCTGTAGTGAAGATAGAGAATATCAGGTCCCCATGATCAAGAAAATAACATTTCATCATTTGTTATAAAAGATCATAAATGACCAACTAAATGATCTCTTTACATTTCTTTAAATTGAATTTATCTTTCTAGTCTTTGTGTCTTTCTTACTAAATTTTGGTGGTTTCATAGAATTTTGGAATCCAGCAGTGACTTGAAAATCACATTAGGTGACCTGACCAGTGCTAAGTTTTATAATAGGAAAAGTACATCACACTCCCCTGTCATATGTAAATATCTTAGACATGTGCATGAGTTTTAAAAATAAATAATGACCAAAAGAAAATAAAAGCTTATTTAGTTAAATTCTTTTTACTCAAAAAAGAATTGTGAGGGAAGTCTGATCTTCCCTAAAAGGGTCCATTGAATCATAATATTTAATTTAATGATTCTTGCACATTTTCAAAATGAGAATACAATGAAAAAATATTTAATGAAATCTTCACCTTAATCCTGAAGGAGGCGTTTCTCCAGTGCTTTGTCAGTGTCTGGGCTGTCTGTCATTGAAATGATTACTTTACTGTTTTAAAAATATTGTGTAATGTGTACCAAGTCACACTGACAGATGCATGACTATCATTGAAATAATCATATAAAAACAAACTAAGAAAGGCTTAAAAAAAAAAGGAGGGAGGTTCACAAGCAGAAAATAAAGTGGCTAAAATAGGTGAGAGAGAAAAGAAATGGGGAAGGGCATTTCTGCTGAAGGCATAGATCAGTAACACACGATCTAATTGTTTATTCCATTTCACCTTAATCATAATGATGTGTGTTCATTTCAGACAAAGAAAGATAATATTTAAGCTGAATATAGATGCCTTAGAAATCCAAGTTCCATGGATGTTTTCTTATTCTATTGCTATTTGCAAATCTGCTTGAAAACTGAAACTCAAACTTGTAATTCTTATTATAAAGTGTACAGCTGCTAAGTCCTAAAGCAATTATGCTAAAGTATAAACAATAGCATGAACTGAAAAAATCATGGAGGCCTTCTTCACTGAAGACTTGAAAGAAAAGGACCAACCAATAGCCATCCTTCTAACTACAGGACATATAAGAACTCTCCCTGGCTCCTAGGCTCCATGGTCATACCTTCACAATATGACCCTGGCAGGTTTAAAGTGATGTCATTCATGTATGGGCTTCTGCCTCCACTCTGTCCCAGAATGGAGCTTCTATATTCCATTAAGGCATTTGTAGACAAAAAGGAAAAAAATGGGTTTGCTTCTTATCTTTTCGTCAGACCTGCAATTAAACCTATCACAAATTCCTTCTATAATGAAAACCGTGAGGACATGTTCTCAGAGGAAACATTTATTAGGTATCTTCACAGAATTACTTGCCTGACTTCTCCAATATTTTGAAAGTTATGCCCAATTTGGTATTTCTGAGCTATTATGTAATTAATATAAATCTGATAACTGGCTACCAATTTAATATGGTCTTACATTTAGTGTCAAAGCAAACTTTTATGTTCATCAATTCGTTCACCAGCTTAACCAGTATGTGCAGGGCTCACTTATGTCAATGAATGCCACCTTCCTCTCTGAGAACCACATCCATCTCTTTCATTTGAAGACCAGAGTAACACGATGTCTTCAGAGACCACATACCAATAACTTCCCTTGCCATAATGCTTTACAGATTACAAGGAACTCTATCTGGTTTGAGAGTTGAGGGAAGTTTAAGTGATTTCCCAACACCACATACTAGCAAGTAGGTGTCTGATTTCTTGTCAATTGGTCCTCTTATCATGGAACCTCAAAGAAAAACTCAATTTAAAGGCAAGGACAACTCAAAATTCTTATTCCTACTTTCTGGCATCCTTTGAAACTGGGCACATCTTTAATTGAGTATCTGAAGATATTTTTACAAGACTATAAATTTCTTTCTTTCTTTCTTTATTTATTTATTTTTATTTTTTATTTTTTATTGCTTAAAGTATTACAAAGGGTATTACATATGTGTCCATTTTATCCCCCTATAAATTTCTTAATGCATGCTTTTGTCCATTGGCCTTACCACTTTCTCTATAATCATTTAACATATATTCTCAAAAATAAAAATCATTCAGAAGATATCTATACATTCATGGCTTCCTGATCTAAAGTCCATTCTGCTACTCCTCCACTGTGAGAATTATTGTACAAACCCTATGGACAAGGGCAGGAATAAATAAAGGTTGCATTAAAACAAATCAAAATAAATAAAATAAGTATCTGCTTACGATGAGACAAGTCTCAAAACATAAACTAGATTCCAAAAGAGTAGTCAGATTGAGAAAATGATGATCAGTACTACCAACAGACATGAAATCATACCAGGTACACAGAGTCTTAGTGTAAACATCTCCTTAACTATACCTATGCATATACTGAGTTAGAATAAGACTGGTGCACAGCTTTACATAGTCATCTTTTTTTTTTTTTTTTTGTACTGTGGACAACTCCTTTATTCTGGACAGTGTCCCTGGTGAGGACACATCTTGGAGCACTTTACTTTCCCTTTTATATAGTCAGCAATGTTATATTACATTATAGCTTTAGCTCCTATGGAAATGAAGTTGAATCATCAATTTTTTATCTAGTTAGTCTACTTCTGTTTTTCCCGGAAGAAAGCCACTCAACTTAGATTTCTGATATGATGATCAACTTCTACTCAACAGAAAGCTTAAATGGCTCCGGCTCTTCTCCAGTGTTTCAACACACAAGAGTCTTAAAACATGGCACAGAGAAATCTGTTTTTAAATTTTAATTAAACTTATTAAATTAATAAAATTTCATTTTGCCTGTTTTACTTTTTGCATTAATAAGGAGTTAGTTACTCCAGGGCAAGGTCAGTTTTTTCTAATACCTATGTTAACTGACCAGGATCTCAGTTGGTACCCTGTGGGCACCATTTATTTATGGAGACTCTGTAGATACTTAGGGCTAAATCTTATGGAAATTTTAAATTACAACATGAAAGAAAACAGAAGGTAAAGTTTACAATTTTCATTGTAAAAGTCTTGCCATGTTTATTACATCTTATTCCTAATTGGCCGCAGGCATTTAATAAAACAGTAGGAAAAGCTAAGGAAGTAGTAATCTGCAAAGATATCTTGAGTACAAAACTAATAACTCTATGATGTACAAGACCTGGTCTGGGCTATCAATTTCCAGGATATTTCATTTTGTATCAATAGCCAACAACATTAGTACTTTTTAAAATGAAAAGGGTGTACTCAATATGGGCTAACTTAGGTTTATTTAAAAAATAAATTCTTACAGAACTATAGAAATGCTTTGCATCCCTTTTTATGCTGTAGATTAAACATAGACTTTAAGGTTATGGATGAATGGGGTACCTAGCACTATGGGCTTTTTTTTATTTTTTTAAAAAATACACTAGACAACCAGATTCCAACAATGCAAAGCATTTCTTTAACTACCTGAACAATGATCTGTTCAGTACAAAAATATTTTCTTATGCAGAGATTAAACAGGCTCATCACATGCCAGGACATTCTCCTGACCACAACACTGTGCCCATAGAGATTGTATCACTTGCGAGTGGAAGTTACTGATATAACAACAGTAACAAATAAACAATAAGTCTTCTCCGAAAGTACTAGGCAGTAATAGTGTTATAAATGTGAAGGAAAACTAATTAATGTAAACGGTGACACCTTAACATAGAGGACACTTGTTTTAGAAGGGGGAAAAATCAATTTATAAAAGTAACAGAAATGCCAAAACCGGTTTGGCTCAGTGGATAGAGCGTCGGCCTGCGGACTGAGGGGTCCCGGGTTCGATTCCGGTCAAGGGCATGTACCTGGGTTGCGGGCATATCCCCAGTAGGAGATGTGCAGGAGGCAGCTGATTGATGTTTCTCTCTCATCGATGTTTCTAACTCTCTGTCTCTCTCCCTTCCTCTCTGTAGAAAATCAATAAAATATATTTAAAAAAAAAAAAAGTAACAGAAATAATTATAATATTGCTGGATGAAAAAAAAAACATTAAAATTAAATAACATTTTAAAAGTAATACATTTCACAGCACCATTATTAAAATTGTCATTTTAAGGTCATGAAAAATCAAGTTTAGTGTATGACTACTTAGCATAAAAAAGTAAACCTGACTTATAATTGCATATATGAATTCCAAAGATGCGAATAAGATTTAAAATTTTTAGTTGCATGTTGATTATTCTCATCACATACCTCTGTTCTCGATAGTTTCTTTTCATGGACAAGTAGAGAAAGGGAAAAAAAAGAATTAATTACCTACAAAAGTACATTCAGAGAGAGCATTAAACATAAAAGCTCTAGCATTCATTGAAGGGTCTCCACTATAGGATTCTGACTAGCAGAATTAAAACAGGGAATCCGAAGTCACAAAACCCACATTTCACTTATATTTAGAAGAGACACCAAAGGATTAATGACAATATTTTCAAATAACTATTTTTAAAGCATAAAAACTTCAGCTATTAAAGAGTAACTTTTCTCAATATCAATTGTGTCATATTAAATACTGTATTTTGTAATGTTCTAAAGTCAACCCTGTTTCAAATACAGGTTTTCAGGTGTGTATATTGCTTTAAATAATAAAATTAAGTAATCAAGTTACTTATATAAATTGTTTTAAAAAATAAAAATCATAATCCATTCCTTTTTAGATACAATATATACCCAAACTAAAGCTATACCTAAGGATTCAAAGTAGGAGAACATAAGTGGACACTAGAACATTATATTTCATCATGTGTGATACATTAGAGTCAGTTAATTAACAGCTGTTATGAGCTCCTAAGTTGTTACTTTTACTCACAAGCTCCGCATTAGAAATACTATGTTCAAAGTTTAGTCTCCTGTATTTTACGTGGTCATAAACTACAATAAAATTACACGAGTTTCAAAATAAACCAATCTGAAAAGATGTGTTCTAGGGGATGTGGTATTGAGGCACCAGTGACTTTTAACTTTTAACTTAAAAGAACTAATTTATAATGTTCTATCATGACCTAATTAAGTGCTAATATTTTGAGGACAAGTTAGAAAAGTAAACCAACTGAACAGTGGGCGCCTTCCTCCAAGATCAAGATGATGTTTCCTCATGGGTTTTGTTTGGAGCACCGTTACCTGCCGATCTACTCTGTGTGCCCTATAGGTATCTCATTTAATGATGAGCTAATGAGGTTAGAAGTGCCAATTAGTTACTTACTATTTTTCATTCCTGAAACCATTAGATGGCGGAGAAATATGAGCCCTGAATCTTTTTGTTCAACATATTTTACTTTTTATTCTCTCAATCTGATTACCTGAGTGGTCCCCTAGTTTCTTATTTCCTATTCTGCTATTTCTTGACTCACTCTAAAGCTTGAATAAGGGGTAGAAAGTTTAATTGGAAGGATTAATGAGAAAATAAATGAGCTCTCAGATCCTAAATCCAGTTTTTGAATTTGAAATAGAGTATGTAGAACATCATATTAATAAAATTAATTTCTGTATTAACATTTTCTACATTCTCATTCTATTTTTAAACATATTCCTTATAAGTTCGATAACATTAAAACATTCATCTCTTCGCTTCAAATTATTTATGAAGACAATACTGCAGTACAGAAAAAAAATTGTCTTTTTCCTTAATGAATCTGCAAAGTACATATATTTAGAAATAAAAGTAAAAACAATGACACTTCAAAAATTTTCATAAAAATAAGAAATGATATACAGAAAGAAGTACTTTTAATTCTAATCATTAAAATAAATGAGCACAGGTCATTTCATTAGCAATAGGAGATGTTTAGGGTTTCATATTTTCTGAAAGGTTATTTTTTCCAAGATTCTACAAATGAAATATTATCCTGGCTGGTGTGGCTCACTTGATCAGAGTATCATCCCATACACCAAAAAGTGACAGGTTTGATTTCTGGTCAGGGCACATACCCAGGTTGTGGGTTCAATCTCTAGTCGGGGCATGTGTGGGAAGCAACTGATCAATGTTTCTCTCTCTATAAAATCAATACAAAATCTTAAGAATGTATTACAAATGAAATAACAACTTGCATCAGTAGGTGGCAGAAAATCACACAATATAGAACTAACCACTTTCCTATCTCCTTTCACATGAAAATGAAACTACTGAGCTACTTCAAAACAACGCTTGTGATGGCAATTACTGCATAAGTCTTGCATCAGGCAAGTCAATGATATTGTGTAGCTCCAAGATGGAGTTAATTCACCTGAGGTGTGAGGGGAGATCAGACAATATTCAGAAAGCCTTCCTTCCGGACTATAATTTTGTAACTCCCAATGTTATGCTGAAATCAGCCTGTGCAAGTGTAAGTATACAATATACCTAATGACCAGCACCTCAAAGAAGCCCAGAGGTAGTAAGCATCTATGAGCTGGTACAGAGTGAGATATTCATTTAATCAGGGCAAACCATTACTATTATACTGTGCTATCCTTGCTTTCTATGCTAAACGTACTATGCTGTATGTGATATGTTCATAATGCCTTCCTCAAATGGCTTTCTGTATTTTAATGCTTGCAGCATACAAACTAACGACTCTTTTCAATCAAAGAAACTCTTTCAGGGCTCTGACCTCACCACAAGCAACAGCCACATACGCTTTTAAAGGTATTCCATTTGATTCCATTGGTTTAAGATCATACCAGGTGACAATAATACCAGCAAACAAGTACATATTGCCTAGCCAGTGGTCGGCAAACTCAGAGATAAATATCAACAGTACTTCTTCAAAATAGACTCGCCCAGGCCGAAAACCGACTCCTGCGCATGGGCCACGAAGTTTCAATCCCACTGTATGCACGCCCGCACGTGGTATTTTGTGGAAGAGCCACACTCAAGGGGCCAAAGAGCTGCATGTGGCTTGTGAGCCGCAGTTTGCCGACCACGGGTAGTCTATTGAAAGCTTTGGAGTAATTTTAAATTCTGAAGTATTCTAATTCCCAAGTCTTTCAGTGAACGAAGTTTGGTCTATGAGGGGAAAAAGGCTATAAAGTAAGGAAATGCCCAGAGTGCCTAGGAAAAGTCACAGGACTCACAAATGGAAAAACTCTAGAGCTGGGAGCTGAAATATCATCAGAATCAGCAGAACTATGAGCTTTACGTTGAAATATTAAAGAGAACTTAAGGTTCACCTTGTTTCCATTTTAATTTATTAAAAATGAATAAAATTCTTGAATACTAAGGACAGTTTTCACATCATAAGATTGAAGTACTTAAGTAAATTGAACATATTAAATATGTAAATGTTTGGAATATTTGAAGCCATTTACTTAGTTAAATGCTTATGGGGATCTGATTTTCAAAAACTATATGGCATAACTTTTAAAAATTTATAAATTGAACCAAAAAAAACCTGTAAAGCGAACTTTGACACATAAGGAAGGAATTAGGCTTTTAAAAGCTATGACTTAAAGTTGAATTTCAATCTTAACAAACATCTCTAAGCAGTCTTTTCTTCATGCAAAAACACCCACATATTTAACAAATAGTGCCTCCTTTACACTGGCTATGAAGATAAAAAGGTTTTGCCCTCAGCCCCAGGCATGGCCATCGCAAGCACTCAGGACCAGACCTGTGGCTGCTGCTCTTGTTGCTATGACTGTTATTATTAAAGCTCCATGATCTCTAGTTGACAATCTTGCCTAGACTTCTGGGTATGGTTTAAGTCAAGAGAGAACCTGTGTCATTAAAAGAGTAAGCCAACAGAACCTCTGTGTAAGACACAATTTAGACTAATTTTACTTCACATAATGGGTTTTTTAAAAATATTTTTTTACTGATTTCAGAGAGGGAGAGATATCGAAACAGCATTGATGATAGACAATCACTGATGGGCTGCCTCCTCCCCTGAGGATCGAGCCCAAAACTCAGGCATGCGAGCTGACCGGAAATTGAACAGCGACCTCCTGGTTCATAGGTCAATGTTCAACCACTGACCCACACCAGCCAGGCTCACATAATGGTTTTAAGACAGTATTCAGTACTTTTAGAACAGATGGGAGTTATCTCAAACTCTAAAAACAAACAACGATAGATTATTATCACCTCGAATCATGCCAAGTACAATCATTGATTGAAGAGTGAGCCAGACTGATTTTCACTGACAAAAACTTTCTAGGTGTTTAATTCACTTGAACAAACTGTTTTAAAATATATTCTGATAGTAAAAATATTACTATGAGATATTTCACTTACTTATAACCCCATGCAGTCATTCCTAATATGAGGGCCAACACTAAAATGGTGCCAGCAATTATGCCTATTATGATATTGGTACCAGCAACACCTGGAAAGAAAAAAGGAACAATGAAAATCAATCTCTGTGATTGAAAAATTTTTAAAAAATATATTTTTATTGATTTCTTACAGAGAGGAAACAAGAGGGACAGAGTTAGAAACATCGATTAGCTTCCTCCTGCACACCCCTAACTGGGAATCGAGCCTGCAACCAAAATACATGCCCTTGACCAGAATCAAACCCGGGACCTTTCAGTCCACAGCCTGATGCTCTACCCACTGAGCCAAACCGGTCAGGGCTTGATATAAAATTCTTTCAGGAATTTATTCTCCAGATTTGTAATCTTCATACCAACAACATTATTTTAAGATATTTTTAAAGTAGGTATTTTTTAAAGGGAAGAAAAAATCAACCGTAACTTAACAATATGCCTCAATATTGTGTATGTTCCAATTCTTGCCCTGATTATTTCTAAGTAACAGTGTTACTTGTTACTTTTAACAAGTAACTTAAATCTATGGACCTGAATAGTGTCATCTCTGCATTAACTGCTAGAACAAGCTCCAGACTACCACTGCTAAGACTACAGATACCAAACTCCTTTTGTTTGTTTTTCAGTCCCTGGGCCAGTACTCTATCCACTGAGTCAAACTGTCTAGGGCCATGGTCGGCAAACGGCAGCTCGCGAGCCACATGCAGCTCTTTGGCCCCTTGAGTGTGGCTCTTCCACAAAATACCACGTAGGCGCGCACGTACAGTGCAACTGAAACTTCGTGGCCCATGCGCAGAAGTCGGTTTTCGTAAAGGAGATATACGGAACAAGTATACAAGACGAGTGTGGATGGGAGAGTTGGAAGGGGTCGACCTCAGCGAACGTACCTCAATCAGATTGAGGACGTTTTTAGCAGAGGTCAGCTTAGGAGTACCCTAATTAAGTTAATAATAATGTACCTACCTATACAGTTTAAGTTTAAAAAATTTGGCTCTCAAAAGAAATTTCAATCGTTGTACTGTTGATATTTGGCTCTGTTGACTAATGAGTTTGTCGACCACTGATCTAGACGAGTCTCAACTGGGCTGACCGGGCACTTCAAGTCTCTGCCACGCATCTGTTCCATGCCAGTAGGCTACCTCAGGAATGTCCTCACAAAGATGACAGAAACAGAAGAAAGAGCAAGGCCTCTCAAGTTGTAGACTTGGAAGCACCATACTTGCACTTCTGCTTCATTCTGATACCCAAAGCCAGGCACACAGTAAAGTCCAGAGACAGAGGCAGAGGATACTTCAAAGTTAAATGCCCAAGGGGGTGGATGCAGAGAGGGTAAAAGATCATTCAACCCATCAGCAAGACCTATCAATTCTACCTTAGAAATACTTTCCACACCTGTCCAATACTCCTTCTATCTTATTGCTACCACCACTTCAGTTCACCATGATCTCTCTTACCTATCACCACCTGACTGCTCTGTCCAAATCTTTCTTGTCCATTCCTTCTCAGATTATTCTCAATGCAGCAACAAGAATAAACTTAAAAAGAAAACCTGCTCTGACCACTCATTTAATTAATTCTGCCAAATGGTTTCCTATTGTTCTCAGGATAAAGGTGAAAATCCTGACTAAGGCCTGAATTGTTTTCAATTTTCAATTGAGGGGTTATTTTAAAGCAAACAGGTGAACCTGGTGAAAGGGAGAAAGAGTGAAGAGGGAGTGTGGGAAAGAGAGGCTTTGTAATGACTTCCACGTGAGGACAGCCTGGGACCCCTTTCTCCAACCTCATCTCCTCCATCCTTTCTTTCACTTTATGATTGAAACACATCATAATTCCCCAACTTGTACACTATTTTAAGCCTCTGGGGGTCTTACTTGGAATGGTATGTGTCCAAGTAGAGTTCTTTATCTCTCCTTTTGGTACGAATTGAAAACCCCTGTGCCTTTCTCCTTTCCTTCTTCTAGGGAAAAAGAAGAGAGGCGAGGAGCGCAGATTGGTTTGGCTGAGTGGATAGAGCGTTGGCCTGCAGATTGGAGGGTCACACATTCAATTCCAGCCAAGGACAAAAGAGAGAGGAAGAGAGCGAGAGGAGGAGCTTTTTTGGAGAGGAGGAAGGGACCCCCACCCTGAAGGGGCTGTGGCCAGCCTGCAAAAGACCCTCAGCCCCTCACCCAAGTTGGCCAGGCACTCCAGCCAGGACCACCTCCCTGAAGAGGGTGTGGCCAGTCTGAAAATGGCCCTCAGTCCCTCACCCAGGCTGGCCAGGCACCCCAGCAGGATCCCAACCCTGATCCGGGACACCCTTCAGGGCAAACCAGCTGGCCCCCACCCATGCACCAGGCTTCTATCCTATATAATAAAGGGGTAATATGCAAATTGATCCTAACAGCAGAACAACTGGGAATGACTGGTCACTATGACACACACTGACCACCAGGGGGCAGACGCTCAATGCAGAAGCTGCCCCCTGGTGCTCAGTGCGCTCCCACAGGGGGATCTCTGCTCAGCCACAAGCCAGGCTGACGGCTGCCAAAACAGCAGTGGTGGCGGGAGCCTCTCCTGCCTCCTCAGCAGCACTAAGGATGTCCTACTGTAGCTTGGGTCTGCTCCCCACTGGCAAGTGGACATCCCCGAGGGCTCCTGGGCTGCCAGAGGGATGTCTGACTGGCAGCTTAGGCCCAATCCCCGTGGGAGTGGGCCTAAGCCAGCACGTTGACATCCCCCAAGGGGTACAAGACTGCAAGAGGGCACAGGCCAGGCTGAGGGACCTTCCCCCCCCCCCCCTCCGAAGTGCACAAATTTTTGTGTACCAGGCCTCTAGTCTATAATAAAAAAAAATATATTAAAGTCAACCAAAATTTGGACATCTGTAATACCTTTAACAATAAAAGTCAACAAAAATTTTAAAAATCAATACTATTTCTTTTCTTATTGATTCAGTCCCAAAATATAAAATTCTTCCTTTAAATTCAGACAGTTAAGTATGACTACTTCCTTTTTTTTTTTTTTTAAGTATGGAACGCTTCACGAATTTGCATGTCATCGTTGCACAGGGGCCATGCTAACCTTCTCTGTATCGTTCCAATTTTAGTATATGTGCTGCCAAAGCAAGCACATGACTACTTTCTTAATTAAAAAAATATGCTAAGGTTTGTTGTCATCCCCAAACAAGAACTGTACAAAACTTGAAAAAGAAATCTCAGTCTGATGTCAGAGAAAAAACGCTAAATTCAATATGACATATTATTACAAGTTAATGGAAATGATCAGTTTCACAATGTGGGCCTAGCTAGCTACATATTATAACTCATTATTGTCTGGATTTAATTGATATTTGAGTTATAACAATAATCCAAATGAAACTATCTGGAGGGCAGTGTTCTCCTTCATTGTGTATAAAGGCTATATAATGGTACCAAGTTCAGGACCTACCGTTGCCAGACAGAGTTATACCAGTCTTTTCCTCATCGTTGAGAGGGAAGTAAGTGCTGCAGTCAGCACCGGTCCAGTGCCTGTTACACACACACTTCAGCTCATTACTGCAAACCTGAAACCCGAAATCAATCCAGAGAGAGAGTCAGCTCTCGGGTGCAGAGGCATGAAAAATAAGCATTAATTTCTAATTACTATAGGCCCAGAATTTTATGGGACTGAGAAGTGATCAGTACTTTCTTCCTAATGCCAATTACTTATTTCTTACCCATGTACCTAAAAAATATTTTCAAGAGATCAACGGTTGACCCACAGGGAATAATAAATATAAACAGAGAAATAAAGGTGTATCTCTAAAAAAATCAATGAAGTTCTTGTTTTGAATTTCATTAACTTAAATTTTATAAAAGGGAGATTTTAAAAACTAAGCAGAAATAAGATCATTGTCTAATTATCCAATACAAAGGTTTCTTTCTTCCAAAGAATCTTTATAATGAAACTATTCATCTTTTAGGAAGCAGATAAGATCAAGAGAAACCTGACAAAGAGGGGAAGCCTGATGCTTTGCAGTGGTCTGAGAAGAAAGCTGTACAAAGCCATAACCTTGGCACCTCAACACAAGCTACAGAGATGAGCTACCTCATGGTCATGGAGAAGAAGAGCTCCCTCAAGCAAAGCACAGGGGGGAAATTCACATAAAAATAGCGCCACATTTTTAAAAATTATCAGATAATATTCTGTCTGCATTTATATATCCAGGAGACCAAACCTATACCTAGATCTTACAATTCAAAGCAATTTTAAATGGAGTGGGAAGTAGGGGAGAATTCAGCTGGTTTGAGATCAGAATTCTTCAGTAGGTTTTCACTGGGTAGTTGTCTTCTGTCTGATCTAATTTTCCAGAGGATAACATTCATCCACATCTAAATGTAACTGTAAAATATGATTAACAGCCCTGGCCAGTTTTGTTCAGTGGTTAGAGTGTCAGCCTGCAGACCAAAGGGTTGTGGGTTTGATCCCCAGCCCTGGCCCAGGCTTGTGAGGGAGGCAACCAATGGATGTGTCTCTCTCATGTTGATGTTTCTCTCTCTCTCCCTCCCCCCTTTCTTTCTCCCTTCCACTCTGTCTGAAAATCAATGGAAAAAATATCCTCAGGTGAATATTAAAAAAAATATGATTAGCAAATTACAGATCTCAAATAAATTTCTATAGATTAACAAATATGCAAGAAGAAAAAGGTTTAGGTGTAGAGTCAGAAAGCCTGAGTTTGATTCCCCATTTCATCACTGTCTTTTATTTTTTCTGGTTTAAAATAAGTTTTTTACTGCCCAGATTATTTTTCCTTGTGTCTTATTTCCTACTACCTCCCCGCCTCCCCCATTTTCTTTAATAACTATAAATCCAAGCTTAGGAAAGCTTGCCTTTGTCTTGTAAAACAAAACAAAACAAAACAAAGCTTTTATATCATTGGCTAACCCAGTGGTCAGCAAATTGCGGCCAGCGAGCCACATGTGGCTCTTTGACCCCTTGAGTGTGGCTCTTCCACAAAATACCGACTTCTGCGCATGGGCCACGAAGTTTCAATCACACTGTATGTGTGCGCCCGCACGTGGTATTTTGTGGAAGAGCCACACTCAAGGGGCCAAAGAGCCGCATGTGGCTTGTGAGCCGCGGTTTGCCAACCATGGGTCTAGGTGAATAAGGTATGGTGATTCATTAGCATGAATGACCAAGAACAATGTCTTTATTCTTTTCGACTGTCCACCCAAAATGTATTTCCCCCTAACACCATCTTATTAAGGAAAGAAGACTTAGCAGAGCCCTTTAAAAAAACAGAGCTACTTAATCTAAGACTTCTCTAGTCTCCTGTGCAATAAGAATTCCTATCCATTGGAAAAGAGTAAGGGCTCCCTAAGGAAATTCTTGGAATATCCCTGGGGACCTGCATGGAATGACCAAGACTGCAGGCTTACAACTCCAGGACCGAGATCCTTTCCCTCAACCAGCTAATACACCAGTTCAAGCAGTGAGTCTGGAATGAGGGTAAGAAGGGAATCACAGCATATGCCGAAAGAAAAAGAACCAGGAAAGGTTTCATGAGTATAGGAATTCCTGACTGAAAATGACAAAATGTAATCACTAATAGAGCATGTTTCTTTCACCTATAAACATTTCTGTAGATGAACAGATATATGACTGAAAGAACAGAACTTAGTCTTTTAAACAAGGCCACTCTTTCTACATGTCTGTGAGAAACATTTTCCTACATTCTGTTTTTACGTTTAGGCATTCTCCTCAGCCGATGCACACTGGTGTGGCTATGGTTACTTACGGTCTGTCTTAATCAGCCCGTGCCTGGGCCACACCAGTTGTTAAATATTGTGGCCACTGCCCTGCGTTTTACTCCTTTTTAAGCCCACTATAGTTTGTTGGAATTTGTCTCTTAGGTCACTTGCAGACAACTGGTATTATAGTAAATGAGATCCCACTAATATAATGAGAAAGGAAGAGGCAAGCATTTGGTTAGGAAGTTATACTGTTTCTTATTCCCAGGCTTTTGCAGATGACACGACAGAAATATTCAAATGACTATGACAAAATAACTGTTTACATACCTGCTTAGAAATATGGACAAGCATGGTTTGCATTATTACAGAAATAAGCAGTTTAGGGTCGTACCTATTTCTGATACAAAAGAAATGAGTAATTCCCCATGTGAGGTACTGAATACTCACTCCATTTCCTGAACAAACAATGCCTTCTTTATTGCTTAAGCAAGTACTGAAGTTGAAGGAGGCCACAGGGAGACACCTGTGTCCTAAGCACATCATTCGGGGACCACAAGGTGTCCCATCTTCCACATAGCCAAGATCTACATCTTCTTCAAGCTTAACATGCCCACCACTGAAAATAAATGGAGAGAAGAAAATGGGATTCCATTCATTCACATTCATTTTGAGAATATGCATAAACACTAAAAAGTAGGCAATATCACGTCCTCTATTTTCTATTTATTATCTAATAAAAATGGTAACATAAGAGTTTTTCTGATAAATGGAGAAAGCAATTTAATCTTTTGATCTAACTCTATTCAGGGATACTAACATATTTTAGGATTTCAATATAATTATTGCAACAATGCTTGAATTTAAATAGCTTTATCATTTGGCCTGGGATATCATGTACAAGTCAAATAAGCCATTATTACTAGTATTTTATTTGATAAGTACGTAGTTTTAAAATTTCAAACATGTTTTGAACAAAATAAGAATTGATTTTAGTTTACATTTCCCAAAACGATGGCTATATTTACAAATTACATTTGAGAATGGCTTAACTATTATACCTTCACTATTCAATATAGCAAGCCTGCATATAATGTAGGAATTTAAAAAATAATAGATACTGAAAATGTATGTTTATAATCAATTTATCTATATGGTACCATGTCAAAAGCTCCATTATTTTTATTTGTTTTTATGAAAACTATAGATGCATAGAGTTTAAAGAGTCAAATAGATAACTTAGTTCTTTAAATGTCAAAATCTCCATGCAAGATGCATCTAAACATCACTTCATCTTCCCGTGGACTCTCTCCTGGAGTTCCCATCTGGACTTCCTCTGCGTCCATCTGATCGGGCTGTCCTCTGCTCCTGGTGCACAGCTGCGCATCCTGGATTTCCCGTCACCATTCACTGGAGGGTATCCCTCAAGGTGGGGATCTTAATTCCTAAATTCCCTGCCTTTCTCTTTCTTAGCTAACTCCTTCATTTTAGTGCAGTACAATTTCCAGTAGCTTCCTGAGAAAAGGTTTAAGGGAGTAAATTTGGGGGGAACTTGCATATCTAAAAGAGTCATTTGCTATCCTCACCCTTGATTGATATTTTGTCTGGGTACAAAACTCTAGTTTGGAAGACATTTTCTCCATTGTCTTCTGGCTCTCAGGGCTCCTGATTATAGATCCTAATGCCTGATCTTTTTCCCCCCCTCCTCTCTGGAAACATTGAAAAAAAAATTTTTTGTCCTAAGGTTCTGAAATTTCATGATGATATGTTTAAATGTACCTCTAATTTCACTCATTGTACCTGGCACTTGGTGAGCCCATCAATAAAGAAATTCAAGTTCATCAGTTCTAGACAATACTCTTGAGTTACTCATTGACAATTTTCTCCTTGCTGTTTTCTCTATTATTTCTTTATTATTTCTATTCCAATTTGATGAGCTCTTCTCTATGTTAATTTCTTTCCCTCTTTTGCCCTATTTTCTGGAAAATAATTTCAACTACTGAGTTTAATCTCAGACATCATATTTTTAATTTCCAATAGTATGTTTTCTTTCTCTGAATGGTCTTCATTTTGAAAAACACTCTATTCTTGTTTCATGATAGGGGTACCTTATCACTCCTAAAAACTGACAGGTGTTTGTTTTTCTAGTTGGTTGTTTTTATCTCTTTCTCTTTTTTTTTTTTTTTTTCATGTTAGAGACTTTCTTCACGTAGCTGATAATCTGCTCATATTTGAGGTGTGGGAATAGACAGATGTTTGGAAACTTCAGGGAACATCAGTGAAACTGGACCACTTCATACAACCTTGATATCAATATTGCCTGTTGTTCTTCAATCTGGACACCTTCTATTTTACTATCTCAGGATATGAAGCTCATATCTTCCCTGGGGGGATGAGCAATACCCACTGTAGCTGAGTCAGGGAAGTAATCTTTTAGTGCTTCTTTAATAAATTGTATTTAGCCCTTCCCTGTCCCTTAATCCTTTATTCCCTCTTCCATAGTAAGTGGCGTTGCCCATTTTTTTAGTTTTTTTACAGTATATATTGGCTTAGTTCTCCAATTAGCTTTCTTAATTTTTATACTCATTTGTCACACATCCATTTGCTTTCCACATTCCAAGATGCTATCATCACCTCTCCCTCTCTCTGCCTCCCTGTGAATATATGAATTTTTTAAAAAATCATTGAGTGTCATTTTAGTGGAATCTCAGAAGAGAGCTAAAGAACATACATATGATTTTACCCCAAAATTCACATTCTTTTTCCTTCATAAGAATAAAATGCAAATTAAACCCTAATTCTTACCTTGTTTTTGTCTATTTTCTGTCCGGATTTGCTCAGTCATCTCTATGGGTGAGATTCTTTTTTGGCTTAATATGCATATGAACTGAAAACAGAATTAATCCTGAACTGCATTCTCAGGAGATGACTAATGTTCTCATGGAATGATCAGCGATATTTACCTGCAGTTTAATGTTCTTCCCTGCTGCACAACTAAAGTAGATGTGATTTCACCATCGAGTTCTCCAAGCCGTGGGATATTGCCAATATTGGTACACAAAAGGTAGCCACAAAGCACATCCCTGTGTTAAAAGAATACCAAGTATTTACTTTACAACCATGTGCAGTGAGAACAATAATCTTATCTCATTTTAGCATTTGTTTTTCATCAACTATACTATTTGTTTATGTTACAAGAAAAATAAAATAAGCCCAAATTAGTTTATTCCAGACTTAAAACATGTCCCCTCTGATTTAGAAAAATCTGAAACTCTTATTGGTGCACCAAAATCTCAACTACTCTCTAGCTTTTTCTTTAATGCCCACTAGTTCAAATATTCATAGAAAGGAAATCACCCATCAAAAAGACTTCTTTTATATAGGACACTCTCTCTCCCTATAACATGTCACTGGATGTGCTAAAACACGTTTTCTAATATTTAATAAGTGAATGAATGACCTTTGGATGATTATTCTTTTGGAATACAGCTCTTCCCTCAACTTGTTGCACCATAATTAAAAAAGAAATTGCATACGTGTGCATGCACACACACACACACACACACACACACACACACACGCTCACACATACACTTTATAGATTCTGGACAACATAGGCTCAATGTATTTCTCTACTTTTCCAATATCACATACAATTCTATTTTAACTTGTAAAATACTTTCACTGGTGTTAAATACTATCATACATGATCTCTGTATCTAATACATTTTAATTATTAATGTAGATAATGATAAACCATGTTCTAATCAGTATCTTGTGAAGATTGATTAGTAGGCCTTTAAGAGCACATATGAAAATATTGGGCTTTATCAGGCAAAGAAAAGGGAAAAATTAGGACTTGTATCTATCACCAACACAGGAAAAAAAATGTATTAATTCATTTCTAAAAAATAATGTTTAAACATTATATCATCATTTTTTAAATGTCTGTCATAAATAAAAATGCTTCTTAACATAGAAAAATATATAGTCAACATTTTTTAGTGTCCTTTCTGTGTATGTAGCTTACGAAGTACTTTAGGATATATAAAGAAAATTAGCCATGATTTTTATCCTCAAGGAAATTAGACGCTGGATGAAAAAAGAAATCACATACATAGACAACTATACAGCATAGAGTTGGGGACAAGGGCCGTAAGAACAGTACAAAGGGCTGTGGGAATTCTGAGGAGAAAGGGGAAATTATTTATTTCTGTGTTAAAAGAATACCAAGTATTTACTTTACAACCATGCGCAGTGAGAACAATAATCTTATCTCATTTTAGCATTTGTTTTTCATCAACTATACTATTTGTTTATGTTACAAGAAAAATAAAATAAGCCCAAATTAGTTTATTCCAGACTTAAAACATGTCCCCTCTGATTTAGAAAAATCTGAAACTCTTATTGGTGCACCCAAATCTAGATGAAGTCCAGAAATAATTTATAGAGAAAGTTTTGTCCCAGCAGATCTCTGAAGAATGGATAAATTTTTGCCTCGTCATGAAGCGGGTATAAAGAGTGCTTCCAGAGGAATGAATAGCACAAGCACAGGCACAGAGGTAGCACAAAACAGTGCACATATTAGGGATGAAAGGCATGCTAGACTTTGGAAGAGTGGAGAAGAAAACACAAAAAATGGAGGTTTGGGGGCAAATTGTGGAGGAGGTACAGTGCCAAGCTAAGTTTCCACTGTGTTTGTTAAACAAAATAGTATGACATTCTACAAAGTAGTTAAAATAGAGTTCTGAAATCAGACTGCCTGAATTCCAACTCTGCTGCTATTATATCTTCATTATATGATCTTGGTCAAATTAGTAAACTATGCCTCAGTTTCCTCTTCCATAAAATCAGAACTGACGTAAAGACCAAATGACATAGCTCATGTAAAGAATAATATAATGTGTAGCACACAGTGCGCATTCAATCCATGTTGGATATTATTCTGAGGAGTAATTAGCTATGTGGAACCAGTGATATTTGAACAAAGAGTTGACATGGTCAGAAAGAGTCAGTAGAGTATCCTGAGGGCAGCCTGTTAGAGACTGCAGGCATTAAAAAAAACCTGTTTAGAGACCTTTGTAATAGCTGAAGAGTTAGTGTAGGTCTTAGTGGGGTCCTTAATGCTACAGGAATAGAAATGAAAGGATGAGTTAAATGGTGGGGGAGTAAAAGGGAGGAATGGACATAACTTGCATTTGGACAATGTGCCAGAGGGAAGGTGGAGTCCAGGATCATTCTAGGCTTCTAATCAGAAGGACAGTGAGGTATTAAGACTTTTGGAAAATCAGAACCAGTTGAGTGAGTATGTATATTCTGGTGGCTTTATTTTATTTAATTTTTTGCTTTTGAGATGCTGGCAAATATCTTCTAGGTGAGAAAGTCCTGAGGCAGCTATAAGCATGACCTAGGCCTTAGGAGAGAGGTGAGCATACATGTTAAGATGTGGGAGGCTTCTGCAAAGATGAGGCTGGAACAGTGGGAAGAGATGGAAGGCAGCACACTGCTTCATGGGATGCAGAAAACAGAAAAGTCCTGCTGACTTAGAAAATAATGTTTGTCATTAACTAAGGGATAAACTTGAGGCTGACTTGTCCACCTCACCGTTTGTTGCACTGTATCCATGTGTCTTTGTCTTTCCCACAGTTGCCCTTCTCAGTCCCTTCAATATTCAGTTTCTCATAGCAGTATTTGTCTGATGCCGTCACCTCTGAAGCAGAACAGAATTTTCTATCAGTGGTAGATACAACGTGAGAGCTGCTCAAAATGTTTGCAGGGAAATTCCATTTAAGGACTCCTTCACTACAATGCTATCAGTTCCAAAACTGTGCCCAGGGTTCACAGGAGTTTTCCTTCCCTTAGACATCTACGACTCATGTACATTTTTCACGACTGCTCATTTGAAATTTGGGAAACAAATCTATTAGCTCTGGTAGGTTTCAGCTACAGGTTCCAAGAACAACACTCCTCAGAATTTGGCCAATAATTAGGGAAAGATGCTACCAAATGGTTCTTTGAATAAATAATCCACACTTTAATCTCAGGGCCAAATATAAAGCACACATTGCTCACTCGACAACTTTTATTAATCATAAAGACAATTTTATTAAAATAGTTATGCACTAAAACTAAAGAGTCAAGAAATAGTGGTATACTTTCTACCTTGTTTACTAATTATCAACAGCTATCACCAAAAAAACATACTTCAAAAAACAAAACAAAACACAACAAAAACACAACTTCCCCGGCCAGTGTGGCTAGGTGGTTGAGCATCAACCCATGAATCAGGAGGTCACAGTTCAATTCCCAGTCAGGGCACATGCCCAGGTTGCAGGCTCGATCCCCGATACGGGGCAGCTGATCAATGATTCTATCTCATAATTGATTTTTCTCTCTCTTTCTCTCTTCCTTTCCCTTTCTCTCTTGGAAATCAATTATATATATATATATATATATATATATATATATATATATATAGAGAGAGAGAGAGAGAGAGAGAGAGAGAGAGAGAGAGAGAGAGAAATTTTAAAAAACAAAAAACTTCATTCTGCTTTCAGAAAAACTTGAATTCATGCTAAATCTCTGAGAGTCAAATAACATTTGAAGTCGTGTCAGCATCTTTGTCAAGATATTATTTTTCCTGAAGCTGGGGTTGGTTGATGAAGTTTTCCAATAATTAGATCAAAATGGCTTTTGCAAACTAATCAAAAGATGACTGTTGGTTTATATTGTAAAAAGTAATAATAATTATGTTGATACTTTCTTTTTCTATGTTATGCTGTCAGCTACTGGTTATTCTCAAGAGGAGGAAACAAAACTCTCTGTTCAGAGTTCAAACCTGTATGATTAAATTTCCCCCCATCCCAATGTTTCTCTAATTACTCCAAAGAGAGCACACACTTCCTCTCCCAAAGGGATTGTAGCCAGTTTGTGACAACTAAGGGTTGTCATTATCTTTCACGGTAATTGTCTTTTGAAAGACTCTAAAACAGCGGTTCTCAACCTGTGGGTCGCGACCCCTTTGGCGGTCGAACGACCCTTTCACAGGGGTCGCCTAAGACCATCCTGCATATCAGATATTTACATTACGATTCATAACAGTAGCAACATTACAGTTATGAAGTAGCAACAAAAATAATTTTATGGTTGGGTCACAACATGAGGAACTGTATTTAAAGGGCCAGAAGGTTGAGAACCACTGCTCTAAAACAAAAAACTACTTTCAAAGGGGCAGATAATAGTTCTGGAAAAAATACATTTAAATATATTTTAAATATAAATATACAATTTCAATAATATGTTCTAGATATAATTGATATATAATTCCCTATGAAAGTTTGACAAGCTTTAAAGGGAATAACATTAAAATTTCTCTCTGATATAGCAGAGCCACTCCAGCAGGTCACCAATAAGTAGAAAAGCCAGCTAGAGGTCAAGAAAGATAGTTGAGGGAGAAAAAACAAGTCTAGCGAAAATGCTACAGTTCCAAGGCTACAGCTCCCTAGCCAGGGTCCACGTCCATCCCATATGGTTGTACAGGTTTTGCTTAAGGACACTCAGCTGCAGAGAGCATATGGGGAGCTAAAATCCACGTTTGTTCCGTTCTCCAAGCTGCACACCTGGCAGGGACTTCACCTGCCTGGCAGCGAAGACACCATCTGTCTCATCCAAAGGCACTGCCAGCTACCCAAGATGTGTAGGGCTGTGTCTTCTCAGAAGTGCCCTTCTCTAATTTCCACAAAAGTGCCCCTGCTAAGACGTGTGGTGGTTTGAAGAATCCCTCGCTCTTAAAGAGGTTGAAAATTTACTTCCTGCTCACATGGCCCTTGGCCTGACAGCACACTTTGAAATGATTGGGCCGCACTGTTTACTTACTTTGCCCCCAGATGTATTTGCATTGTCTATCCCTGGTTTTGCATCTTCCTCCAAAGCAAATCCCCTAAAATGGAAAAGCATACCCATGAGCCATGCAATGTCTGCTGATGTCAGGTAACTGAAAAGCTAAGTATAACTAGGAGAACTAGTCAAGGAGTATTATAAAGGCTTTTTATCTTCAGAATTTATTATGAAATATTTAAATTATTGTTCCTATTGTGATAACATTTCAGTATTTCTTTCATGCTGGTACACACAAAAGAAAAATTAGGTAAAAATGAACTAACCTACCTGAACACCATCACATGAATATCCATCCATTTTATGAATATTTGGGGCACACTGAGAAAAGAGAACAGAACTATGAGCCAAATGTGCAACAAAATATCGGGATGAGCTAATCCCTTTAATGCTTTCACTTTAAAAATAAAGTAGGAAAATATGTTCAGTGTCTTAAAATATCTGAAAATAAAAACAAAGAAGAGGAAGCAAAAGAAAATACAACAGCTGGTTCACTTCCCCCTAAAAGTACTGATCTATCCGCGGCAAACACAACGGGCGGCACGGCAGCAGACAGGAAGACGTGGCAGCACGGACTCAGCTAATGCTAACATTTGAGAGCATCTTGCTCTATACAGATACACTGTTCCTCAAAGCAAGAAAAACAAGAGCATAAAACAAAAGCCAGGAGGATGCCAGCATGGATGGAGCAATAACTCTGTGTCTTCATTTTTGTGAGAAGCAACACAGCCCTTACACTCAAAAGGACTCTCAGGCAGACCTCCACGTTGCACATGTCAGAAAAACACATGCTTTATGACACGCCCCCTTTATACTTTGTAGTAAGTACAGAAGATTTCAAAGCATTCTTATGGAGTTTTTAAATTTATGATACATTTTCTATCATTATAGTAATTATATACTCATTTTAGAAAAGTTTACATAATGTAAAAATGCAAAATTAAAATAAAAGACAAAAGTTACTCAAATCCCCACCCCTAAAAGGCAGCTATATTACATTTTGTTTTACATTTTGTTACATTTTTTCTCTACCTTTTTCTACAAGTTTTGATTTTTTTAAACATAGGTATAGTCAAAGTATAGATAATATTTTATATTCTGCTTCTTTCCTTTACTTATGAATTTCCTCATCATAATAAACTTTTGTAGGTATCATTTTTAATAACTATAATACATTGCATTGAGCTAACATCATATAACCAATGTACTAATAGGCTCGATAGGCTCTGTGATTTAAAGAGAAATTATGTAAAATGAAACCAATTTTACCATAGGCTAACTGAAATAAATAAGAGTTTACGTTCCTGTAGCATCTCATCAATATTATGTAATAAAATGGCTTTGAACAAAACACTGTTATTCCAGGACCTGCTATGTCTCCAAGTTATGCTGTTACAACTAATGTGGCAAGAACATCTTTCTGTGCACATCCACCATTTCATTGTACCCTCATCACCACTGTTAGCTAAGAAACGCAATGCTAATTAAATAAGAAAGGAAAATACTTTTACACGAAAAATCTTTAGTCTTTTAGGATGACCACCTTTAAAATAAAGCATTTTTAATGGTTCAGGTAGATATACCACATAAAAACAAAGAAGAGGAAGAACCATGAACAAAGGTCATGTGAGCCGGGAGTAAATTTTCAACCACTGAATCCCTCTTTTCTAGAGGAAAAAATACACAGGCAGTCCTAGCTTCACATGGCTCCAATGTGCATGAATTTCAGGTACCACAGGATTGTTGAAGAAGACTGGTACCCCAACAACACAGTTCCAATATCAGTTACCATAATATATTAACTGTGAGTAATTGCATAAAGCACAAGCTTTTACTACTAGCTCTTCAGTTGAGTGATCACTAGGTAAACAACAGGTGAATGACCTAACTCGTCACTCTTTCAAAGCCTCTCAGTGACTGGTCACTTGCCATCTGTATATTTAGTGCATGCACAGACAACCAGGTGTGTAGTTGTGGTGCTGCTCTGTCTTTGGGAGATAGCATGTGACATTTTACAAAATTGGATAATCAAAAGAGGAAACTAACCAACAAAGACAAAAGTGCAGCAAAAAAAAAGAAAGAAAGAAAAAGAAAATTCTAATCAAATGTAGTGAAATTCTAATCAAATGTAAATGTTGTTATAGAAAAAATCACTGACTATGGGAATGTTGATAGTGCTATTTGGCAAAAAGCTTCACATCGACATCTCTTGGAGACAGTTCACGACACTGAAAGTTCAAAGGATGAAATGTTGAAAGCTGATTTAAACTTAAAAAGGAGTATGGATAAGATGTTCCTGAGGTTTACAAGAAGGTGGCATTACTCCTGGTAAGTTTTTTACAAAGAAATAAAATACTGCCTGGCCAGTGTTGCACAGTGGTTGAGCATTGACCTATGAAACAGGAGGTTACAGTTCAATTCCCAGTCAGGGCACATGCCTGATTGCGGGCTCAATCCCCAGTAGAGGGTGTGCAGGAGGCAGCCGATCGATGGTCCTCGTTCATCATTGATGTTTCTAATTATCTCACTCTCTCTCCCTTCCTCTCTGAAATCAATAAAAACACATTTAAAAAAAAAAAGAAACAAGATACTTTAATTCTTACTGTTTCTGTTTTAATTTAGTGTGCTAAATAAATGAGTTGCTTTTCATTTCCATCTTCATTTAAAAATCAACAGTGAGAGAGGTTTGAAGAGTCTGACAACCTTTTTAAAAGATCACAGAACAACTGTAGTTTCTAAGATGACTTTGCATGGTTCTAGCTCTCAGGGTTATTTTCATGACCCTCCATTATCTGTACATACACTGACCCTTCGAAACCTGGGACCCTAGCCAAAGGTGATCAACTTCCGCATCTTCTCTATTTACAACTAAATAATATGAAATTCAAGAGCAGCTGTTGGTGACTGAGGTCATGCAAACTGTCTGGGAAAAACAAGAGTCAAGACAGAGAAACAGGCTCCTTCAGAACCCAGTGCTCTGTGGGTCTCTCGCCTTAGCTGACTTCTGTTTCAAAGAGCTGACGAGAGTCTGGTTGTTTCCTCCTTCACTCGACAAAAAGTTAATGAATTTTATTCTCCACTTAAAACAAAAACAAAAAAAACCAGTTATTTCCTCCTTCACTAAATAGATAAAAAGCCAATGAATTTTATTCTCTACTTAAAACAAAAAAGGCATGCAAGCAATCTTGGCTTTGTTCAATGTGAAGACAAAATTATGCTGAACATCTGCTCAAGCTTTGAAGACTGAAATTTAAATTCCTGAAAAATAAATAAAAGGAGAGTAAGAATTTATATGAGAGAGAGAGACACGAGCATCTTGTCCATTTCCGTGTCATCTGGGTGTCAGTGCACTGAAGATACGCCTACTTTTTCCCATCTGGTGTAGAGTGATTATTCTGTAAATTACCTGGCTTGAGTTTCCTGAGCATGATTCACGAATATCACAATCATTTACTGCTTCTCGGCACACAGTCCCCATAGGCTGAAACTAAAATGAACAAAAACCAATGTGTAAAACTGCTGAAGAAAAATTTCTCAGAGTATCATCTTTAAAAAAGCAAAATGAAGATTTGGGGGATAGGAATATCTTAAACTCCTTTAACACGGTAGTCTGTGAAAAACAGCTACTGAATGAAATGTTAATCTGGTACTTTTCGGAGAGAGTTTCTTGTGTATGCAGTAATTTGCACAGTCATCACACACAATCCCTGAATATATTGGTAAAACAGGACCGTGCTTGATGATGCATCCTTTGAGATGGAGGAGTCAGTCAAGTTCTAGGAATTCTTCCTTCCAAATGGCTTTTGGATTTACACTTCCCCCTCATTTTTACTGGCACGTTTATCACATTACTTTTTCTCTTACCTTTTCTGCCAAGAATTTGGAAGTTACATTTTGGGCTAAATTGCAAAAGTTCGATTTTCTGGCGAAGCTATTTCTTCCCGTGCTCTCCTTTCCCTTCTTTCCCGCCTCATTTTTAAATGGATTTATAGCTTGGTCCTTTATTCTTTTCTAACGTCTCTATGATTTGTACCCATGTATGGGAGGGATTTTTGTTTTGTTTTGTTTTTGCCTGTTTTCAACCACCTTAAATATTTCTTGTAAGTGTGGGACTAGTACCAATATATTTTTAAGCTCATCGGATTTATAATTGCAAGACTGCTCATTATAACAAAGCAGAGATACATAGCGTTTTCATCTTTTCCCTTTGCTCTTCAATCCCACTTACTTTCCTTCTACAAAATGTTAATATTTGGGGCTGGATCTTTCTCTGCTTTGATCTCCGCTCACAGAAAGACACACATTATTCTTCAAGCAGGCGCGCACACACACACTCTCACACACACACACACACACACACACGCACACACACCTTTCATCTTCCTCCCTTGCTCACAACCCTCCAGACAATTCAGTTTCCTGTTGTTTGTAGAACATGAACAGCACATTGCCAACTCCAATCAGCATTTCAACAGATACTTTTTAGAAGATCCAAACAAAAATTGTGTTCATTTGTTCGTTCATTTATTCATTCATTCATTCAAGTATTTACTAGCCACTTAAATGTGCCAGGCACTGGGAACCTAATGGAGAACAAAACTCAAGAATCCTGCTTGCAAGAAACTGTTTTAATGGGGCAAATAGGCTATACAAGCAAGGAAATAAGCAGAATAATTTCATCTCATATATTCTGGCTCTCTTCCTCCTTGGAATTGGGGCACACCACAGTTTTAGAACATCTGGGGTAGAAATATGAGCAGATTTAAGGTAGAGTTTATATGAGAGTGGAAATGTTCAAGGACTACCAGAGATTTCTGAGAGAAAGCACAGTTAAGGAGGACCTGCGCTAAGTGCTGGGGCACAGAGGTAAATGTATCATCCCAAATCCCTGCCCTCCTAGAAGTTACACACTGAGAGAAGAAAAATAATACATAAGCAGTATTTTATAGCAGAGGTCCACAGTGATGGCTCGAGGGCAACACCTGGTTGGGCACATGTGGGTGTTTTTCCTTTGGTTTGTTTTTATTTATTTTTCATTGCTGACAATATTACAGATGTCCCCCATTCCCCTCCCTTAACCTCCCCCTGCCCCCTATCACCACATTCCCACCTCACCCTAAGCCTACTGTCTGTTTCAGGCTATGCATATATATATATTCTTTGGTTAATCTCTTCCCCTCCTCACCACCCTCCTTCCCTCTAAGATCTGTCAGCCTGTTCCATGTATCTATGCTTCTGGGTCTATTTTGTTCATCAGTTTATTTTGTTCATTAGATTCCAGATAAAGTGAGATGGCATTTGTTTTCCTTTGTGTGGCTTATTTAACTTATCATAATAATTTCCAGGTCCATCCATGCTGTCTCAAAGGGTAAGAAATCCTTCTTTTATACAGCTGCATAGTATTCCATGGGCCAAATGTACCACAGCTTTTTTATTCACTCATCTACTGATAGGCACTTGGCCATTTGTTTTTCTAAATAAAGTTTTATTGGAACACAGCCATGCCCATGGGTTTCTGTATTTTTGATGGCTGCTTTCAAAGGCAGAAGTCATTGACATTGATAGCTATGACCGACAAAACCTACATTCTGGCTCTTTATAGAAAGTGCTTGCCAACTCTGACTTATATACACATTATTATAAACACATGTAGAAAAAATAGAAACACACTCAATTTCTCATCTTGTTCTTCTATGTCCACTCCTCCATTCACTATCTTGCTTTGGCCCCTTCAGGAGCCCACGGTAGGGGTGAGAGCGGGGATGGAAGGGGGTGAGAAATTAGCAAAAAAGACCTTACTTGACTGGTACTTATCTGTGGGATGATTAACATACCACTTTATTGTATGTATTCTATTATTTTTTATTTGTTCTTTGAACTGATTACATCACAAAGAGCCAAAGTCCATAAATCAAAGAAAAATAGCCTAATTAAATGCACATAATGGGTGGGCAGACTTAAAATATTGAGAATTAAAATAAGGGATTGAGGATCCCCTGTTATGGCCTTTGGAAAAGCTGACAGAATAAACAGTTGAGGCAGCCAAAATGAAAGAACGTCTGTTTCACATTTGGTTTCATCTTCCTCTTTTAGAGAGTTTGCTCAGAGATCTCTGCCAGCGCCTCACTTGTCTTACAGAGCTGCCAGAGACACCGTGGTAATGAGAAAACAGCAGAAATCGCTGCCAGCAGATCTGGGAAGTAACTGCACATATATTCATCCCCGGCTGAATGAGCCTACGCAGGTTATTTCACTTCCTTGAGACCGGGATTGCGCAAGTGAAAAAAGTCTGGATAGTAATGCCTATCAGAAAGTGTGGTTGTGAGCATTATCTAAGACAACATCTCAGCCAGGGGTGGATTTGCCCCCACGGGGACATTTGGCAATTTCTGGGGACATTTTGGTTGTCACCACTGAAAGGGATTGTGCTTGCATCTGGTAAGCAGAAGTCAGGGAAGCTGTTAAATATTCTACAATAAACAAAACTCACCCTCACAACAAAAAATTATCCAGCCAAAAATGTCAATAGTGCCAGCATTGAGAATCCAGATATAAGATGTTATACATTAAAAGTCCTTAGCACTATCTCCGGCACTCAGTAGATAAGTGGTTCATATTTCACCCTCTCTTAACTCTAAGTAGACTAATCAACAAATAATCAGTAAGTATTTGATGAGCGTATTTATTCATTCATTCAACAAATGTTTACTAAGAACCTGTACCAATTACTGTGTAAGTCCCTGGCTCTGCCTCCATAAAATGTACAGAATGAAAGACATATTCAACCTCAGAAATAATGTAGAATATTGTACCAGACTTTCTATGAGGAGAGAAAAAAAACAATAGATTTCTCTGGAAAAGGTAAGCCTCAAATAACTGTTAGTCTTGATGGAAAGGCTTAACTATTTGGAGACAGGTATGAAGATGCTGGTGGGAGGGTGAAACAGTCAATGTGTTTCAAGGTGCATTTTAAAATCTCTTGCACAGCACATGTAAGCTGTTATCATGTCTAAAGTATTCCTTTTGCTCCTTCAAAAGATAATGTAAGAGATGTACCAAACTGAGCAGTGAGAAAAGAAAGGTCTACTATATATCCACTTGGGTTTACATGAAAGGGAAAACAGCATTCAAAGATTTAACACCTGTTTTCATTTAATGTGCATAGTCCTCAGGGAGGCAGTAGTAGTGAGAGGACAAACTCTGGGAATTATAAAGGTGCAGGCCCTAGCTCCCTGACTTACTTGTTTTAAGACCCTGGGCAAACTATTTAACCACACAAGCCTCAGTGTTCTCATCTGATAAATGGGAATAAAAATAGTTACTACACCTCACAAGATTTTGTGAGGATCCTGTAAAGCATTTGGCACTTAGTCACTTAATATGTGTTAGATACTACTGTTGTTATTAGATTATATTCACCTCACCTTAACAGTGTCATCAAATACGTCCTCTTTTTCATCAGTTGGTTATGAAACAACGTTTACTTACCTTGCACTTTTTACAACAAAGACCATCACTGCACTGAGAGTCTTGAGTCAAGGTGCATTTCTTACAACACTCTGCTCCTTCGAGGACACATTCCTAAGGAATATAATCATTTGCATAATGTCAGAAATGGGATAATTTTCCTTAAAGTACCAGGATATATTCTAAAATAAATGAACAACCTCGTAATAATAATCTTCCTTCCACAAATCTTATAAAACTTCCAGGCACCACCCCTGCTCTGTATGTCTATCTCAGTGTATGGGCCTGGAATGACCCTGAATAACCTAAATGAAGTCATCAAAATACCCAGAGACTTACTGCTGGGGTCCCGCAGTCACACTCCTCTCCAGTTTCAATGAAGCCATTACCACACTCAGGAGGATCGAGAAGCTGTGGGATGAAAACCAAAAAGAGAATTAAAATAGAGAAAAATCAATGTCAAAGACTTTATGAGACCCTAAGTGCCACACCTAAGCTTCTGGCATATCTGTCAGTTATTCCAAACTATATTTCTATTTTCCTAAACAGAAAGCACAATTTCCTATAACTTTAGAACTGGGGACCTTAAAACAGAAGTGTCTAATATTGTTTCCATGTCAGATTTTTTTAAAAAAATATATTTTATTGATTTTTTACAGAGAGGAAGGGAGAGAGATAGAGAGTTAGAAACATCGATGAGAGAGAAAAACATCGATCAGCTGCCTCCTGCACATCCCTACTGGGGATGTGCCCGCAGCCCAGGTACATGCCCTTGACCGGAATCGAACCTGGGACCTTTCAGTCTGCAAGCCGATGCTCTATCCACTGAGCCAAACCGGTTTCAGCTCCATGTCAGATTTAATCATATATATATATATATATATATATATATATATATATATAACATATATATATATATGTTATATATATGTATATAACATACATAACCAAGTAGGGTCTGATAAATGCCATCAAAATAAAATATGATCTAGCCATTGACCAAAACTAAGCCAGAATGACTCCTGGAATGTCATTTCCTTTAAATAGAAAGCAAAGGATTCAAATCTTGGCTCAGCTACTTATCTTGGGCAAACAGTTTACCATCTCTGAGCCCAAGAGTTTTAGTATTTAAAACAGGAATAATATCAACTGTCCATCTACATCACAAATTGCTGTGAGGATCAAGTTCAATTACCTGTGAAAAGCCCTTTATTAACTATATTTTCTTGTGTAACAGAAAGTTATTTCATTGACAATGAGAAAAACATCACAAAATAACAAATCCACTAATTTTTAATATAAAATATTGTTCCTCCTATTAACATAGTCCTGCAGAGAACAGCAATGATAACTTTCCCCAGAAACAGAAGCAGTTTTTGGTCTGTACAAGAGTATATTTTAAGACTGTTTAATTTTTAACTCTCCATCAATATATGTTTTGACTATAATTTAACTTATGATTATAGGTAAAATTAGTAAATATAGTTGCTATGTTTTAAATATATAATATCCATTCAAAAATTAATCAAAGTCTACATTTTACAGGATGGCAGTGAATACACACCTATCAACACACATACACACACATACACACACACACACACTTTCTTAAAACCAACTAGAGGGAAGAAGCAAAACCAAATAAAGCAAGCAACAACAACAAAGAATCCCCACCTCATTTCAAATACTCTCTCCTCTCCAACAAAAGAATCAATTCATCTATCTCTCAATTTCATTTCCATTCAAAGAGAGCATAACGAATGAGACAGCTTTGGAAGCCAAAACTAAAACGTATCTAGGTGAAAAGCACTCTTATTCTCTTCCTCTGGGTTCAGAATAATCAGTAATTTTGGTAAAAAGACTTGAACTGTTTTTCCTTTATAGAAGTAAGAATTTTGTTCAATTATCACTTCTGGAACTTTCGGTGCTAAAGTCATTTTATTGCCATGTGATACATTTCCTAAATGTCACCGGAGTGACAGAGGATGAAAGCAGGTGAATGACTCCCAAGACTGTGGTGCACAGAAGCACGCCACCGTTGACATAATTGACAAGGACAAAGCATTCTCCTTTAATGTGCAGACTTCCAAGGGCAGGAGGAAGACCTGCTTTCAGGCAGTCAGTGATCAAAGGACGTTCCTCACCTTGCAAAAGCCTCTGACAAAGTCTAAGCACAGAAAGACTTTCTCCTTCTCTTCTTTAAGCAAACTTGGTTTTCATATTGAGAAGTACTTGCAATTTTAATCATACTGCTTATTCTGAAAGGCAATGGCAGGGAGTAATGAAGGTAGCTATACCCCCTACCCCCTTTCTACCGGTATGAGTTGTGATTATGTACCCAAAGAGGGGAACTCAAGAAAAACGAAATGAGAACATTTTGTAAGTTATCCCTGAATCATCATGTGGCCGTATAAATAGAAAATGAAAAAATTTCAGAAAGCAAACATTCTTATTTCTACCTACTTTCTATTCCTATCAGAAAAGCCCCAAATGCTCAAGATTAAAGCTGGCTTTGAAAATGCAAATACTTAGCAAATTTAGAATACGTACATATGCAATATGTACAAGCCAAGTTGAAAAGCTCTCTTTTATAAGACCAAATGGCTGAAAAATTTGTGTTTATTATACTTTAGAAAGATTAATAACTAATAACTGTTCACACTTATTACCTTAGAAGGTCTGTTGAAAAGGCAGGCTCCACCTCCACTATTCAGGAAGTCATGATACTCTTCAGCATTACACTGGGTAAACTTCTTAGGAAGGTAGTAGCTATAAGACAGAAGGAAAGTAATAGCTGGGTACAATTTTTGTCTCCCTTGTCTGTATATTAGTATTAAAATTGAACATTGTTAAAATTATACATTTTCTCAAAAGTGAAAAATAAATTCCACTTATGTACAATATTTGCATTCAAATCCCTAAAAGTTTTATTCAATCAGTATATTTCTAAATTCTTCATTTGGTGACCAATGGTGATGATGGGTTGTTCATTATTTGCATACATATTCAAAGGAAACACACACACTTGTAATTTCCATCAAAAAGAGGAATAATTTATTTCATAATAAGTCGTTCCTAAATATTACAATTGGGCTGGAACCCAAACTGCAAAGCCGTCTACAAAACCACTGACCTATAATCTACAAATGTGTCAAGGTCGTGACTGTCAAAGAAAGTCAGGAACTGTTCCAGACTGAAGGAGGCTAAAGAGATAAAAACCTGATGCCTGATTCTGAACCTTTTCTAAAATGACATTCTGAAACACAGAGCCAGTGTTGAATGAGGGCTCAGAATGAGGTGATTTTATTTGTTGCACTGTGTTTCTGTAGGAGGATGTCCTTATTGGTAGAAATGCACACTAAGTTGTTGGCAGTGATGGGGCACCAAGCTAGCAATTTATGATTCAAGGACAAAAAGATTTTGTTACTATTCTTGCAAATTTTCAAGTTTCAGATTGTTTCAAAAAATGTATACAAATAAAGTAACAAAGGGTCAATAGAAAAAGAAATAACTATAGACCAATTTGGCAATGTGTGTTAAGAATCTTCAAAATGAGAAATATTCTCAAATCTAATAGTTTTAATTTAAAAATTTTTTCTTGAGCCCTAACCGGTTTGGCTCAGTGGATAGAGCTTCAGCCTGCAGACTGAGGGGTCCCAGGTTCGATTCCGGTCAAGGGCATGTACATGCCCAGTAGGGAATAACTCTCTATCCCTCTCCCTTCCTCTCTGTAAAAAATCAACAAAATATATTTAAAAATAAATAAATAAATAAATAAAATTAAAAATTTTTCTTGAGGAGATAATTAGCTTGTGTTCAAATATGTCTGAACTCAGATATTTATGGTGGCACAGGTTATAATAGCAAATAACATGAAAATAACCTAAATGTTCAACAGTTAAAAACAACAACAACCTGTTAATAAAATAGAATACCATGTAGTTATTAATAATCATGGTGTTCAAAAATAAAGACTCAGAAAAAAAATTTGATTATATAATGTTAAGTAAAAAAAATGAATAAATGGTTATATATCCAACAGGATCCAAATTTTATAAAAGAACAATAAAAATGAAAAGAAAAAGATATTGCATTTAAACATTATTTTAATATTGTTATTGTAACATTAACCATGGTATTTAATTATGTAGTAAGTATTTACTTTTTAAAATCTGGATAATGGTTTACAACTGTTCACTCTTTCATTCCTTCTACCTTTTCAATTATGATGGAAGTGGATGGAAGAGAGGGAGCCCCGAAGCTGAGTGAGTATCTGGAATGTTGCTGAAATAAGAGCAGAAGATGATGAAAGTTTAAAAGTGTGTGTGTGTGGGGGGGGGGGGGGTGCAAGAAGAGATTAGACGAAGATCTTATATGCATGTATGCATTACCTATGGACACAGACAATAGGGTGGCGAGGGCCTGGGGTGGGGTGGGAACCGGGTGGAGGGGAGCTATGGGAGGAAAAAAGAGGGGCATCTGTAATAATCTCAACAATGAAGATTAATTTAAAAAAAAAAAGTAAGGGGTAGTGATAAGCTTGGCACGAAAGGAATGATTGTAGAATTTAGAAAGAATAAAAGGTTAATGCCTGATAGTGTGTGACGGGTGGGACAGGGTACAAACAAAAACCTTTCTCAGGAGAGCAGCTGTGCACAGCTCCGCCCACTCCTCGTTCAGTGAGACGCCTGTGGTAGCTTGAAACCGGCCCTTGTAGTGTCTGCCTACACACCATAGGCTCTACTTATGGTGGAAGGCTGCTGGCAATCGGAGAAGTGACAAATCTGGGCTTTTTTCTTGTTTTTGTTTTTTGTGAGTCAGCTTACCAGCACAGTCCTGTTTATAACCCACTGAATTTGACTTGAAGAAGGTAAAAGGAATGAGATTAGTATGTAAGCCATCAAGAACGAAGCTGTTCCTCATCTCCAGCCTAGATTCAAGGTCAAAAACATCTTTGACCTTTGACCTTCTGGATTAATTGACATCAATTGTTTTCATAAATAAGATAGTCGTTTGTGAAAATATTTTACATAACAAAGCCACTGAGAAAACCTACTGATTCTCTCCTAAATGCCTGTGGTGAGGGTCCATGCACTAAGTTATTGGGTGTCATATTCCTAGGAAGACAGCAGCACAGCAGGGAAAGGAAAAGTGAGGTATTTTCAAGTAGAGTGGCTCACCCGGTGTCTCCCATTATGCATCCAGACCAGGTGTCCTCACATTTACACTCACCTAAGAGAAGAGGAATACACACGCCTTATTACAAAGTAAAAACAGGTGCCTTTGAGTAGTTCCTATCTTAAAAAGTATATCTTAACTTTATTCCTAATATAATTTTTAAAAAGTAATACCTGCTTTCTAACTTTTTTTATAGTTTATATGCAGTGAATAACCACAAAAATCTACCCTGACCCTGTCAACTTTACATAATTCTCACTAAAATTAAATCTTTTGATATTTTACCAAGTGGCCATATTTTGAAAGAATTCACTTAAAATAAAATACAATGAAATAGTGACACACCGCTCCAGGATCTTAGTTTCACAGGCCTTTATGAGAATTCTTATAATTTCCTGTTTATTGTTAAAAAGCCTCTGCACCAAGGCTGCTGGCAGAAGGCAGTATGATATATCGATTAAGCAGAAGGACTTCAGAATCAGAATCACCCAGGTTCAAAACGTGGGCTTGCCATTTAACTTAATCTTGAGACATTACCCTTTTATGATCTAGTCACATCTGTAAAATGGAGCTAATAATGGATATCTTGCAGGAATATCTAGGCAGGGGTGGGCAAACTTTTTGATTCAAGGGCCACAATGGGTTCTTAAACTGGACCGGAGGGCCGGAACAAAAGCATGGATGGAGTGTTTGTGTGAACTAATATAAATTCAAAGTAAACATCATTACATAAAAGGGTACGGTCTTTTTTTTTTTTAGTTTTATTCATTTCAAAGGGGCCGGATCCGGCCCTCGGGCCGTAGTTTGCCCACGGCTGATCTAGAGGATTAAATGAGTATCTACATGTAGATAATACTGGCATTCAATTGTTTGTCATATAATCGGTATTCCACAAATTATAATAGTTATTAATATAAGCAATCATATTTATAATGTCTGTTATTAAAAATAAAATAAATATGACTATAAGCAACGTACTCATAATACATAGTGAAGTAACTTGGTGAAATATATTCCTCATAATGCTAAATATAGCATATTTCACTAGGTCCATATTGACTAAGCCCTTTATCAGTCAGGCAAATTCTCTCTGGCCATATTAAGAGATGTTTTAAATAAACCATAATAAAACAGTATGCCTTAAACCTATATGCCTAGGATTTTTTATTAAAACACTTAAAATTATTTTGTCCTTTTTATGTGAAATTCACACATTTATCATCACAATAACTTTAAACGTTCATAACACATGGAGAAATTTTCATCTGTAATATAAATATAATGGTGTATTACTTTTGAAAAATGTTTTGTTTCATGCCCTAGCTGTTTATCTTATGTTATCATCCAAACTCTTTTGATCAAGCAACTGAATTAAAGAATCTCATTCTCCAAAATATTTCACAGATAGTCTATTTTAAATACAATTAAACCACACGTGTACTTTAACTTACCACTTGCTAACTTTCTTTTGTCTGAGATAATACCAATATTATGGGCTAATGACTGGGCAAGTGTAACTGCCATTAAATCAGTTTTCCCAAACTGAAAAATAAAACAAAAGTAAAATACATGTAAATGCAAATTATTTTTATTTAAATGGGCCAGAGAAAAATTCACAATATAATTGAAAATAAGTAATCTCTAAGTATTTTATTTGGCACAGGTTAAACACATAATAGCCAATACTGAACTACTGAGCATTTGGGGAGACGTAGTAAGAAATAAATCCGTGTTTGATTAAGCCTTATAGACTAGAAACCAGGGAATCGCCAACTTATCGGTTTGGAAACTTAAACCTAATTCTGAGTCCAAATTTCACCAGTGATATGTCTGAAAAATGCAATACTTACATATAATTAGTGATTTGGATAATAATAATAATAAGTGAGTAAATTATTTGGAACTTTTCATCTCAATGTGTCCACTTGTACTCCTGAAATTTCCCCAAAATAAATAGAACGTGGCTTCTGAGAACAAATGCTAAATAACAGGATGTGGTGATGATCTTTGGTCAAAAGAAACTTAAGGGGGCCTAGAGGTATTTTTTTTCAATATACAGGCTCCCAAGGATTCAAGTATTTCCTTTTAGGTCACTTCCATCAGGTTTAGTGCCTTAGGGGTAGAAGGAACTCTTTGAAAAGCCTGGTCTATTTTTTTCTCCAAAAATTTGCCAAGTATCAAAAAAGGAAGAAAATTTCCAATTGGGTTTTTGTAATAAGCTGAACAATTCAGAAAATTACTCAGTTCTCTGGAAAATCAAAGTGATAAACAAGATTTTATTGTCCATGCAGGTAAAAGTAAATATTTTCACTAAATAATCTGTAAATAGCTAAATCTGGAAATTATTCTAAGTAGACCATGAACAGAATTATCAGATATTATCTTCTGTTTTTTCCTTATTCTGCCCTCTGGTCATTTACAGTAACTACACTGGTATTAATAAAACAACCTAACATGGAGAATGTGGCATACTGAGGACTTATCTCTTAAATATTAGGAAAACATTTTCAGCCATCATACCACTTTGTACTGTACAGATGTTCACACCTACTTCATTCACGCCTCCTCCTTTCAGCAACGAGCAAATCCCACCAATATAAGCTGCCCCGCTCCGGCTACTCTCAAATTGACTTCCCCTTTCAGAAAAGGAAATGAAAAATACTTACTGCTCGCAGTTCAAATATCGTAACACCTCTCATTATTAATTTATCACACTTATTTTCTCAATGCACATAACATTTGTATACTATATGTTCCTGAAGCAAAGAAGGAATATGAAAACCGTTCATACACATGACCAAAAAGAAAGGTTTCTGGGGATGTTGCCCCATATAATCACTATCTTCAAGAGAACTCTACCTATTAAAAAAGAATTACTAATATGATGTACTCTGAGAAGGATACAAAATCACTACTGTGCTATTTCTGCCAAAAAATGCATAACTTGAATCTTATAACGAGAAAATATCAGCCCCACAGAGGGGCATTCTATAAAATAATAGGCCTATACGCTTCAAAGTGTTAAGTTCAAAATAAACAAAGAAAGGCTGAGGAAATCTTCCGGATTACAGATTAAAGAGACATGACAGCAATGTGTAGTCCTGCATTAGATTCTGAATTTGAGGCAGGACAGAATTAGCTATAAAAGACATTATTGAGACAATTAGTAAAATCTGAATATAGACTGTAGGTTAAATAACGTATTGTACCAATGCTAAATTACCTGGTTTTAATAATTTACTATAGTTATATAAGAAAATGCCTTGAGTATTAAGTAGTAAATGCCTAGTAAGGTCTCCAAGTTACTCTCAAATGATTCAGGAAAAAACAACCACCTGATAGATGGTTGAAAGGAAGAAAAAGGTGTAAGAAGAATGAAAGGAAAGAAATAATAAAACAAATGGGGCAAAATGTAAACAATTAATGAGTCTGGATGAAAGGCATAGGATTTTTCCTTACAACTTTTCTCTAAGGTTGAAATTATATAAAAATAAAAAGTTACCCCCAAAATATACTCTTTTACTTCAATTTATAACTTTCTTCAACAAAAGCTCTGACTTCAAATGGCAGGTTTTTAAAATGCTATTATATATATCTTGCTATTATATCCAATAAACATGTTACAAAAAAACCTTTAAGAGTGAGAAAAACAAAAGATAAACTCTGGAAATACTAAGCTCTCATCTTAAATCAAAGACATAGTTAACATTTAAAAGCCAACGACTTTAAAGAGTATAATTAATAAGTTAAAAATACTCGGTATGAACATTAACAGTACTTCTACTCAATACATGCTTTCATTAAACCTCTTGAAAATTTAAATGAAATGTATATGCAATAAGAAAATAACTCAAAATTAAAGCTCTTACATTTTCATGCCAATTTGAAACAACCTATACTTTAAAAACTTCTTCCAAATGTATCTTCCCTATCAAATCCTAATTGTATTATGCAGTACAAAGGATACATTGCAGTCACAGGTCATAGAGCATTCAACATGGAACCAGGAAAAGTAATAAATCATTACAAAAGTTACGTACGAAAAAAGGTGAACTGCATCACTTTTCTCTTTGATAAAATCCCTCCTGTATTTCATAAACTCACGTAGGGTGATCAATGGATTTTCAGATATGGCAAACTTGTTGTCAGCTGCCCAGGTTTCCATGGCAACCAATACTATCCTTGTTTTAAGTTGGTCTTTATATATCTAGTGTATAACAAAATGAACACACCAGCTATACATGTGGTAAAATCAAATGTTTAATGAACAGGACAAAAAATTTCTACTTAAGGAAACACCTTGAGTTTTAGTTAATGTAAGAAATTTCATTGTTTTTAAGGGAGATAATTATTTTTCTAACTTACATGCATTTCCTTTGAGTAACAGGGAATCAATTGTTTAGCAAGTAACACCCAAAGAATAGCACTAGTTAGAAACAAAAAAATCATGTTTTGACAAATACTTGTGCCCTTATTCAAGGCTCTCCCTGAGTCCACCTTCTGGCACCCAGACAAAGCATCCATGCATTCTTGAGTTCCCTAGCACAGTGGTCGGCAAACTGCGGCTCGCGAGGCACATGCGGCTCTTTGGCCCCTTGAGTGTGGCTCTTCCACAAAATACCACGTGTGGGCGCACACGTACAGTGCGATTGAAACTTCGTGGCCCATGCACAGAAGTCGGTATTTTGTGGAAGAGCCACACCCAAGGGGCCAACGAGCCGCATGTTGCTCTCGAGCCGCAGTTTGCCGACCACTGTCCTAGCAGAAATGGAACAATGAAGACTCTCCAAGGAAATCCTCTCTACACAACCCGACTGTCCCTGACTAATGTCATAGAAAAGGTACAGGCATTGTCTTGTGAGGGGAAGATTTGGAAAGTAGATTCAGTAGGATTATTTAGTTGCATAATTCCCACAGCATCAGGCACCCTTTTGAAAAAGGCAAATCTTATACTGCTTTTCCACTGGTGGAAGTACAGGGTGAGGATCTTTGTTAGGGCCTATGACCCAACCTTTTCTTTTTCCCATGTGAAAAATTCAGGAAGGAATATCAGGCATAAACCTGTGGGAAACTGTGGCCACTTCCTTTTATCATCTTCCCAGCCAGATATCGAAGTCAATAAAGTCAACTGCACGGTTACCAGGGATTTGGGAGACACCTTGGCTAAAGTGTAACTTAGAGTAGTGAAAATGTAAGAACCATATTATCGGTTCTACTAGCCATCAAGAGATAAAATTCCTCTATGGCAATATTGAATCGGGTTGTTACTTACTAAATCCGCCATGTTCACCACAGATTTCGCATACGTATTGGTATGTACAACCGAAAGCCGGTGTTTTTTAAACTGAAAGCAAAAGGAAACAAGTGAAGGGCTTTCAAAGTCATCAGCAAATAATCAACTCAACAAAGAAAACATGGTGTAATTAAAAGATCTCTATGGTTTTCTGTTAAAAAAAAAAATTCTTACATAAATAAATAAGAATTGAGACCTAGTCCTTTACGTGCTGTAGTCTGAGAAAAGGCTCTTAAAAGTTGGAGGCCTCAGTTTACTCATCTGTGATATGAAGGAAAAAAATACTCATTCCATCTACTCCACAAATTTATTTCTACCAAGAGATTATTATTCAGAAATGATTAAAACATATAAAGTTTTCTATGAATTGCAAGACATACTAATATAAGTAGCATCCAAGTCAGATAAAGTGAATGTGAATACTGCTAAAAGTATAAAAATGTATGAATTCTATAAGACGTATTCAGTCAAGAGAAGAAAGCCCTAAGGTTACAAAGAGGTAGCTTATAGGCTAGATGTGAATCACATATACCTTTTGTTTGGCACCAGTGCTGTTTTAAAACTCAGGAAATACCATAAAAAACCTGATTTCTGGCTTCACTTTAAATTAGCATCCCCACATGGTAAATATGGGACCCACCAGACCAGCCATGTGACATTCCTTTCTTCACCACAGGCCTCACTCCTCTCTATTGTTTAACACCTGACTCACTTTATTTGTGTTTTCTGCATAAAGATGTCTATAGACATCTGAATTGGTGATATTCCAAAATACCCAAAATTATATTTTTGCAACTTATGCTTGTTTTGTAAAAATCTCAGGGAATACTAACATGCACTGAATTCGAAAAGGTAGAAAGGTAAAACTTAGTCTTAGCCTGAGCAAGAAAGAAGCACTCAATCTTGATGGTATAATCAATAAAAAGAATTAAAATTGATATTATTTGTTTAATCATATGTAAATAAATTATATTTTCCCTCAAATATATCAAAGTAAATCCAAATGTACTTTCATGTGAAATTAAATAAAATCAAGCAATGTGCATCATTGAACACTTTTAGTACAATGCCCTAGTTATGCAGAATCAATATAAGACTAGACTGTGACTATAACCATATGACTGCTACATGCCCATGAACTGAATCTATATAGGAATTGAATATAACAAAATAACAGACTCAACAAAAATGAGTTTTGCTAGGCTCTTATCCTAAAAATCCTAAAAATCTGTATTACTTGGCTATATAAGCTTTTCCATATGGTTTACTGCACAGCAAGACAGAAATAGAAATGTTGCTTCTATTTTACTAGGATAAACTTGAACATTGAAAACTAAAGTGTCACATAATTGGTGTCTCACTAGTGGAACTTTACATTTTTTTTTAAAACTTGCCATTTTAGTAAGAGGAAATATTAGCCCCTATCTTAGTCAAGTAGGAATTGATATTAATCAAGAAAGAGTTGACATTTTGAGTCCCAGAAATATTTTTGGAACTTCTCAAAATACCATTAGTTACTTTCACCTAAGGGTGTTTCCTTCTTATAGGTTGTTGCTGGGTAACAAACATATCTGGTTACACAAATACCTTGTCCAGGTTAACGCTTTATGGACCTCTTTCTTCTAAACATATTCCTGCACTGACCAGTTTTATCCAAGGTACGAACAAGTGCAAACAACAACAAATTCAGCAAATCCTACCATGAGATGATCGTTCACAATCATCAGTTCAATATATTTGGTTTCCTCCTCTACATTTCGAGGGTGGCGATGGAGCTGCAATATAGTAAAGGAAATGGCACCTAAATAGGCCCTCTGAACTTGGCTGTGAAAAACTAAAAAATATGTTAGACATTAGATTCTCAGACCTTATTCATCTTATAGCTGAAAATGTGTGCCTTTTCACCAACCTCTCCCTATTCCCCCACCCCTTAGACCCTGGGAACCACTTTTCTATTCTGTTTTCATGAGTTTGACTTTTTTGTTGTTGTTTTTTAGATTCCATTTATAAGTGATACCATGCATTTTTGTATTTTGGATTTAAGGCTGAATAATATTCTATTGTATATATGCCACATTTTCTTGATCCATTTATTCTTTGATGGACACTCACATTAATAATATTGACTTCTATAACAAAGTTGCTAAGAAAGTAGAACGTCAATGTTCTCACTCCCTAAATAGGTAACTGAGTGAGGCGATAGATGTGTTAATTAACTCCATGGGGGAAATGTTTTCACAATGCACACTTAAATATCTTACAATTTTATTTGTTAAGTATACCTCAATAAAGCTGAAAATTTTTTAATAAGAGAAACAAAAAATATGGGAGAAGTAAACAAACCAGTTTCCCCCTTTTATTCATTTAGCATTTATTTTTTCATTTTCTTCAATTAATTTAGTTTTTGAGGAAGTAATACATTTACATGGTTCAACAATTAAAGAATCATAAACAAGTAGAGGGTAAAAGTCTTCCTCTCGCCTCTGTCCCCATTTACCCAGTTTTTAATCCTTCCCCAAAAGTGGGTACAGCAGTTACTGGTTTCTTCCAGAAATAGTATGCATATAAATCAAAGGATATGCATTTCATTATGTACTTCCATCTATTTCATTCTCAGGCTATTTTCATTTAACAGTAGACCTCAGAGATTGTAATAAAGCAGTTTAATTTAAGCTCCTGCGAATCTCTGAGAGGTCTACCGGGAGTGAGATGATTGACACTTGTGTTCTTTAATCTCCAAATCTGGGATTGAGACATGTTCCTTCCTCTGGCAGGGGTGAGGGGATCCCCCAAATGACACAGGAACTTCGTTAGGATAGTTCTGAGTTCCCAGGTTTGGGTTATGCAGTGCAGCTACATCTGTCTGTTCAACAACACATTTTCTCACCTTCAAAATCATGACCAGAGAACGCTACTGGCAAGAGCCACTAAGGCAGCCATATGCCTTTGTTCTCCGCAGTTAGTCTATAACACACTCTTTAGCAAGGTACGCAAAATTAACTTTTTCCTTTACGCCATACTTTTTGATAAACAGTTTTTTCAATAAAATCTTTTTGCTCACTTGCCCAAGGGCCATTTTGGTGATGAGGGTATACAATCAAACCTAAATCCATAATGAATGTGTTTTGAGTACTGCATTTAAAGCAAACTAAAACATTCCTGCCATGTGGATTTTTGTTTCATTGCTAACACACTCCCAAACTTTAAAAAATATATATTTTTTTTCAAAATCCCTTATAATAAGTTGGTAAGGAATGACAGACATAATTTGAGGTTTGGAAACCAAAAAGCCACATAAACTGCACCCAATCACAGGGGTCTCTTTAAAAATGGGTGTTTTTAGGGTGCTAGTCTCTGCTTTTTTAACTGTGGAGGACATTGAGCCTTATAAGTTAATACAGTAGATTCACAAGTTTCCACATTTTCTGAAGGTCAGAAAGTTGCCAATATTGGCCACACAGTTTTAAAACACTTCATCTTCCTGGGTCCACATGGTTCTCAGAAAGAGAAATCAAGTTTGTCTGCTTAGCATATGACTGGATGTTACAAATGTTTATGAAAACCATAAAAGAATTATGTCAACAGAAAATCATCCTATTCTCTCATTTATTAACTTATGAAAATAATTCCTGTTTCCAATTAAATCCTCATGGCAATTACTTATGTCTATTTAATTGGGCCTCAATATATATACATATTCACAAAATATGTAAAGTTCATAGTAGTAATTCATAGAACACAAAGACTTCTGAGAGTCAGTATATTAAGCGTATGTGGTTATCAGAACTCTGAGACCAGACTTTCTAGGTCAGAATCCCAGATCCACCACTGGGTAACCCAATATATCCATGGGCAAGTTACTTAAGCCTCCTATGCTTAAATGTCCTTATCAGTAAAATGGAGATAATAATAATAATAATACCTTCCTCATAAGATTGTTATGAGGATTAACATGTGTTAATACAATTAGAATTCTTAGAACAGGGCCAGGCACATGGTAAGTACTCAATAAAATTTAGCAATTACAATTCACATTAGAAATTTGTTTGTAAACGTGTTTTATTTCATACAGATTAAACATATTTTAAAAAGAAAATACCTGTTTCATTCAACAGTTTCATCTTACTAGATATCTAGTTCTCTCACCCTGTGTTTGTATGCCACACACATACTATCACACCAACCACCACCACAATGGTGATGATTGCTTAATTCTGATGGCCCGAGTTCTTATTTTGTCTGAACCATTTATCAGTTCCATAATTCTGCACGAGTCATTTTCACATTGAAAAGCCACTGTTTTTTTCCTGGATAAGAGTAATAATAGTACCTACTTCATGTGGTTAAAGCACTGTACAAACAGTTGTTATTTTTATTACTAAGTCCAAGATCCATTGAACAGTCATAAAGTAGACATCCTAATTTTATATTCTAGGCTCCAAAGTAACTCAAGTGTGACAATAGCATTTGTGGCTTCAAAACCTGATGTATTCACTCAGAAGTGGTTATCTTTAAAAAGATAAACACAAGGTTATGCACTATACAGGCAGATACCAGGATATGCATACTAGGTGGTGCATACCAGGTAAGGAAAAAGGCCTGTGTCAGAAAGCATCTGAGATGCCACGGCAGGGCCCCATAATCCATCTACATGATGAATAACCACATTATCACCACTGTCTTGAGTCCTTTCTGAGTCTATGAAAAAATATAGCCACACCTTCACTGCTGGCGACAGATCCATCATGCTTACTGCTTACCACACCCTGACAAATGTCGTGACTAATATCCTCTCACAGGGACTTAATGTGGAGTCAATTGACTGGCAGTTGCCAAGTGTTTTTAAAGCATCACGATATATACCTGTGAATACATACCTGCCGTTTAGTCCTTTTTGGTCTTGGCTTCAAAATAAATTTTGGTGGAGTGATATTTACTTGTTGGAACTCTAAAAGGAAATAAAAATAAATTAAATTAAACTTATTGAAATGTCTATCTTTATTTCATACAAGGCAATCAAAGTTTTACTAGCCTTTCCTAACAAAAATTATATAATTATACTTTATTAATACTTATAATTATTAATAACTAGTTGTAAATTTTATAAGATATAATGTTGCACTTCATGATAATACAGAACATTAATCAAAACAATTGTGTTCATATCAATACTGAATAAATACATTATGAACGAGTATAATTCAAAAAAATTTCAAACATTATTCCTGTTCTAACTTATCTCAAAGTTTTTCTCATATTTCTCCCATAAAACCATTACATTCTTTATTGGGAACCTTCTAAATAGCCAACTTGACCGACACGTTTACTACTGACCTTCATTAAAGAATGACACTCTAAGTGTTGGTGAAGAAGTGTTGGTGGAGCAATTAGGACTCTCATATATGAGAGTATAAAACTGATCAAAAAGAAAAACAAAGAAAGAAAACACACTAATCCTAAGAGATGTGTCACGTAAAACAAAAGGTTCTACCACCAAACAAGTGTAAAATTGACAGGGCCAACTTCTGATAAGAAAAGAAAACCAGAAATTAATTAAGACAGACCTGAGTTTTCAAAGAATATGTTCAAAACTCATTTTTAATAACAGCAAAACGGCCAAGTCACTTCCAAAATTTCTGTTGGAAATAAACTCTCAAGAAAGTCTCTTCTTTTTTTTTTTCTTTTTTTTTTCAAATTATAAGATTGTATAATGGCAAGCCTACAATAAAGACTGGGGGTATTATTTATCACTTTAAATATTAATTAATGTTGATTACTTCCAGTAATATCTATTAGATTGTGGCTTTATTCTTAGGCAGCTAGTCATGAATAATTTTCTTCCCATAAGAGGGATTATAAAAGTTACATAAGGTAGCTGTGTGAAATAAGAGCATTATATGCTCATTTGCAGATTTTTCAAAATAGTGAATTCTATAAAATAGGACCTTATATCCCTTTGGCAACAGGAGAGAAGGGGGAGTCCTAGTTCTCTTTAAGGGAACTGTATGAAGTCAAGGACTTACCAATTTATTTCAGAGAGGAAGGGACATTAGAAAATATTTATTTCATTTCTGATGAGAAGACAATGAAAACTTTTAAGTCATTTTCCTAAGTAGTAGTTTAGGATTTGCTATCAGTTTAGTAAATTTTCCAACTCCCCTTGGTCCTCTCTCCCAGAGAACATTCTCATTGTGCCATAATCCAAACTTCCAGTCCATCTCTTCCTAGCTGTGGGACCATGGAAAAGAAACCAGCTGAGCTTCATCTATAAAATGGAAATATTAATATATATCTCACAGAGCTGTTGCACAAATTACAGTGAGATTAAAATTTAGAATGTATTATGGCCAGGATCAGGGCTCACTGAACAGGGAGAAGCATCTCCACCCCAGATATTGGGAGTGCGCCCTGTCTTCAGAGGAGAACACAATGAGCCCAGCGTAGCTAGGACCCTGCACAATCACTGCTCCACTAAATGAGGCCAATTTTCATGTAAAGATTTGGATGCAACTCTTAAATCAACATCTGTAAACAAATGACCAATAAACATTCATGAGAAGGAAAGACTAATTCCACAAATAGCACATAAAACAAAAATGTTAATCTAAAATAGTTATTCCTTAAAATGCTGGGGCATAGAGAGATGAGGATAACAACAAATGGGAAACGGGAGAAACCAAGATGGCAGCATAGGTAAACACCTGAAATTACTGCCTCGCACAACCACTTCAAAAATACAACTAAAAGACAAAACGGACATCATCCAGAACCATAGGAAGGCTGGCTGAGTGGAAATTCTACAACTAGAAGGAAAGAGAAAAGCACACTGAGACTCAGAGGAGGTGCGGAAGTAAAGTGCAGAGATACAGAGGCGTGCATGGAAAGGGCTGGCAACTGAGGACACGGTTGTCTTTTTCAAACAGGAGGGAGACATAGGCTCCTGTTCTGAACTCCAGTTCTGGGCAAGTCTCTAGGGACTCAGACTCATACAGGGAGAAACTGGACTGTCTGGCAGCGGGCAGAACTCGAGGGCAGCTTTCTCTCGGAGGTGCTTGCAGTGATTACTGCAGGACAATGAGACCCGGGGCCTCTTAGGGCAGGGCTAAGGATCAGCCATAGCTGTTTGCCCTGCCCTGTTGATTACCTGAGACCCCAACCCACCCAAGCTGTGCGCAGAGGCTTTTGCATATGAATGACCTGGCCCTTTGCAATCTAAAATTACCTAACAAACTGCAGCTGGGTCAGAGAGACCCAGAACATCCAAAAGAAGGCCCAAGGCCCCACAGCAGCTCGCACTGCTTCACAGCTGGGCCTCATCTGGGCACCTCCCAATCCCAAAGAAAGAAGAGGAATCTGCAGATCTCTCCATAATTCCTGCTGGGTAGCCTCAGGAAGAGGCTAAATTAGCACCTCCTTAGAGATCCAAGAGCCAGTGTACCCAGTGGTCAGAGTGGGACCATTCAGATTACAACTCCTCAGATCCATAAGGGACACACTCAGGGGGCAGACTCAGTGAGCACCAAAGCCCCACTGAAGCAAGTCTTGCCCCATAAGGGTGTCTCCAGCACAGAAGTTCTCCCACCATAGACACAGCTGGTCCTCACAGCCAATTGGCCTGGAGGTCAGTTCCTCCCAGTAATACCAACAGCAACCAAGGCTTAACTACAACAAGATTGTGCACACAGCCCACAAAGGGTTGCACCAAGAGTGTCCACCTCAGATAATTGGGGAGGCTGAGCCACTGGGCCCTATAGGACACCTAGCACAGAAAGCCACCCTATCAACACAGGGAAGCAGCCAAAATGCGGAGACAAACAGGTCACAAATGACAGAAATGGAGGAAAACAACAAATGGGAAATGATTAAGAGGTCATTCCTATGTTTACAACACAGTATTTTACCAAGAGTGAATTTTTATATATGTTATCTATGCAGACCGACTTCTGATCTAACATTATTTATCTTATAGTACCTTACTTGGAATCTTACAATTTTAAAAAGTTTTCCTTCAATGTGTTTGAGTTATATCTTTCCAAATCATCCACTGTCAGCATGAGGTCAGCCTGCATTTTATTCTCCCTCTTGACGCACTTGACTTTCTCTCTAAAATTATGAGCAGTTGTGTGCTAACGATATTCCAGCTATAGATGAGCTCTACAGCATTCAAATAAATTATTAAAGTTGTTTTTTTAAGTCATTATAACAATTTCATACCAGAGGGGAGTTCATCCAAAGGAAATTCAAAGAGTCTGGATTTGTAAACTGAGTGAAAACGGAAATCCTCCTGAAATAACACAGACAATAGAGATTAAGCATGTGCTTCCAGACACCTCCAGCCTCGGGTGATCAGAGCTGGAGGAGCTGGAACCCTTAAGACACCGTCACTTGACTGACTACACAGACTCCTGGGTTTAAAGTGGCGATGAGCCATTGCACAAGAGCTTACACTCACTCCGGTGTTCTCCTGCACCCAAGTGACATCCTATTAGAAGCAAAATGCCTTCACAGAGAAGCCATTTGGAAAATAAATGAATGGGCCTATCCCCCCAAGGAGAAGCAAGGCATCTGGGAAAATGGGTTAATGTTTTTTTATGACTGGTTCCTTTCCACGATTCCCTGCCTCCCTTTTAGAGTCAGAGAGCTTTGCTAGGCAAAGAATGCTGAGCTAACACACTTGCTTGTATTAAGGAGCATGCTGACTGGCACAGCAGATGCCCAAATGGGCCTTGCTCCAAAATCCAAGTGTCATGCAAAGTTCTGTGAAAAGCTAACCGATAAAAAGCCATATTTTAATGAACATTCAATTAACTTCATCTGGCTTCATTCAATTACTAACATGATAAGAACTACCAAAAATACAGTTTCATGATATTAAAAGAAGAATGTCATAGTCAAGTTTCATTATATCACCTTTTAAAAATAAAAATCACCCGGTCAAGCAAAGTGACAGGAGAGCAGGCAGTGGAGACCAGAAAATAATATACAAATACAGATAGTTTCCTCAAACAAGATGATGGGGGGCAAAACAATTTGTTTCTTGAAAGTATTTGCCTCTCTAAGTGTTTGACCAATGTTCCTTCCATGATACAAGGAAGAATAATTGTGTGTACAGAGCTAGAATGGAAGTGGATTATGTTTCTCTCTAGTCTATAACATTAACTCAATCACTTTCTAATTTGTGGGAAATGAATATTTCAACTAAAGTGAGAGAAGAATTGAGAAAACTTAGATTTCTCTAAACTTCATCAGCAGTGGGCTTTGAAGACAATAGAGCAAAATCTCAAATCTAGAAAAGAAAGGGAGGGTGGAAAATCACGTATCTGGCTTTGATCTGTTATAGAATAAATGTTTGCCCCCCTTCCCCCCACACCAATCCATATGTTGAAGCCTTAACTCCAAATGTGATTGCATTTGGAGACAGGGCCTGTGAGGAAAGGATAATTAAGTGAAGTTGTAAGAGTGGGGCCCCTGTTCAATAGGGTTGGGCCCACAGAAGGGGAGGAAGAAACACCAGAGCTCTCTCTTTCTCTCTGCGATGTGAGGACATAGCAAGAAGGCATCTGTCTGCAACCCGAAGACAGAGCCCTCAACCAAGACACTGACCCTGTTGACACCTTGATGTTGGACTTCCAGTCACCAAAACTGTGAGAAAATAAATGTCTGTTGTTTAAGCCACCCAGTGTTTTGTAATGACATCCTGAGCAGACTAAGACAGATCATAATACATCGTGGTGGGGAGAGAAATGGAAGCTTCAGAATACCTCTGAAGGAAAGTATTTTCAGTTTAAAGGAGAGACAGATTTTTTTAAAAGAGAAAGAAAAAAACAACCACTTGTGGTTTTGACATATTCAATATTATTTTAAATATATATTTAAATAAAATAAAGCAGAGAGGGGAAAAAGAGGAAGAAAAAAGCTTTCAGCATCAACTTTCACGTTTGCCACAACAGAGGAGCACTTACTTGGGAGGTGTCATTTTCTTCTGGCTCAATGAGATAGGTGTGGTTCCCATCATAGAACATCCCACTGTCAAAAACAAGAAAATAATTAGTCATGGCTACCAACTCCTGTCTCGGAACAAAATCATTTTAAAATCAGCAGCAGCTAGAGGACCAGTTTACTTCTCAACACCACTTCCAAGTCCTACCTATCACTACCATCACATCATATCACATCACATACTATACACACACACACACACACACACACACACACACACACACACACACTGCTGAGAGGGGAAGGTTCTCTCTGTCTGATTCCTCACAAGCAGCAGGGTCTCCTCATCTAGACTGTTCTCTAGGCTCATAATCACCATTCTCTAATTGTGGTCCATTATTCTGCTCTCCAACATATAATTCTAAAACTTTAATGTGCTAGTAAATATGCAAAGCTTTCAGGACCTTCCTCATATTCCTGAATGGGGGCCCAGGAAGCTGCATTTTAAACAACCCCATGTGATTCTGATGCAGGTTGCCAGGGACTCTACTCAGAACTGCTTACCTACCACACGCATGGAAGATGCTATAGTGACAAGAGCTGACACATTTCAACAACTTACCATGAACTAAGTACACTCACTCTTTTCCAAAAATGTATGAGGCAGGCACAATGACTATCCTCATTTTACAAGTAAAGAAACCAAAGCCCAGAGAGACAAAGTAACTTGCCCAAACGACATAATCAATGAGAGCCGAGGCAGGAATAGAGCCTAGGCAGATTGGTTCCTGAGCTGTTTACCCACCTTCATTATCATTCATTTATTGAACAAACATTTAGAGAGCACGTGCAATGCCCTGTTCTAGGTGCTGAGGATACAGTACTGAACAAAACAGACCCCTTCTCTGCCCTCATGGTGCTCACGTGCATTCTAGGGAGGACATAGAAGATATATAATCACAACTAAATATATATGACAGGTGGCAAATTCTAGGGAGGAAACTAAAGCAGGGTAAGAGCAATAACTGGTGCCAGGTGATTGGAGATAGAAACCAGAGACAGAAGATGGCTAATTTATACAGAGGGTCAGAGCAAGGCTTCACAGAGAAGATGCATTTAAGCACAGGCCTGAAAGAAGTGATGGGGAGAGCCATAAGGATATCTGCGCAGACAGCACTTCAGAATCAAGCCCTAAGATAAGAGGATGTTGGTGTGTTCAGGAATATGGAGGATGCCGTGTGGCTGGCGTAGACTGGGTGAGGTCTGTAAAATGAGGCCGAGGGATAGGTAGGCCCTTGGGGCCTTGGCTTTCACTCTGAGAGAGATGAGGAGCCACTGCAGGGTTCTAGGCAGAGAGGAAACACAATCTCCCCTTCAATTTCCAAATAATTGCTTTATAAGCTGTGCAACAATAATCTTCAGGATGGCAAGGATAGAAATGAGGAAAGTATTGCAATAACCCGGGCAAAAGAAAATGAAATGATAGCTTAGATCATGGTGGTAATAATGCAAATAGTTAAGAACTGCACAAATTCTGGCTATTTTTCAAAAGTAGACCAATGGGATTTGTTAATGATTTCAGATGAAGTATGGAGGAAAGAGTCCTGTCAGTGAGCACATCAAGGTTTTGACCTGAGTACCTGGGCAAATGGAATTGCCATTTAATAAGGTGAAAAAAGCTGTCAGAAGCACAGAATGGGGTTGGCAACAAGGAAGGAAGCAGGATGCAGGGAGCAAGGCGCAAGTGTGGAGTTCAGTGTTGGACTTCTTAGACTGGAGATGGCTGCCAGCCAATTGAGAAATCAGGTGGAGGGCATTTTAAGCTGCAGATGGCCATAACTCCCACTCAGAGAGATGCTGAGAGTCACTCCTTTTAGTGGAACATGGTCCTTCTACTGAGATCAAGCCCCTTGATCTTATGAGCTGAAGGAATGTTCATATTATTCAGGCATCTAACAGGGGTGAAGCTGTCATCGTCTGCAGTCATTTTTCAGTGCAATGCCTGCAAGACATCCAAGCTGTTAAACAGGGAACAGTATTTGTCTCTCATTGATGGCTTAGGGAAATGGGTTCTGCCACTACCCAGCTTCTTTCATTCCTGCCTTAACATCTTCCACATGTCCTCAACTCTCATAGACTCTTAGAACTGCTATTCTCACATCTGTAAGGTTTTCAAACAAGAGTGCACTTTCTGAATTCAGATGACATTGTATTTGGAATTTAAAGCTAAACAGATGCCATTTGTAATATATTACTGGCCATACAGGCCTAAGGAATCAGTGGGGGTGAGCCTTTTCGAAACAGGAGAACAAATATGGCAGTAAACATTCTTTGTGCCCCTGATGGGACTTGGCCAGATCCATGGAGAAAGTTACATAAAACCATTCTCTTTACCAAAGTTCACATGGCAATACTGATTAAGTTGCAAGCAGATTGTTTTGCTTAACTAGTACTGGGTATTATTTCCTCTTGCATTAGGTTAATATCTAATGTGAAAACCAAATATTTTTACTGAGTTTAAACAGCATGATATACAGTATAAAGAAAGCAGAGTCTGACACCATCTATATCTGCAAGATTCTGGTCTCCTAAATTACAATATGCTATTATTAAAAGTTCTTTAACAAATAAAAGGCATGCGTGTTTTTATTTGCTTTGCTTGAGGCTTGGTACCTTTCTGTTATATTTATATAAATTTCAATAGTACAGAACATGTTTGATAAAAACCTGCAACTAGGACTGAGTCATTATGAAACAACAGAACAAAAATTTTGAAAGGCTCCATCAAAATGTTTAAAGAAAACAGCCATTCTTACAAATTGCCACAAGAGGGCAATAAACTTACATTTGAGTCCACGCTTAAGCTACCCATAGTTACAGGATTTTGTTTTTTTGTTTTTTTTTTTTATGCAAATCCCTTGGCAACTTTATTTTAAAATAAGTATACTGTTAAAAAACATACAAAAGCATTTTGTTATAATTAAAGAAAGATTTGAGACTGCTATTCCCTCTGCAGAAATGCTATACACAGATGCAAAATGACCAAAGGCCGTTGTAACAATGACTCTCAAGTAAGTGGGATGGCCATCATGTGCCACAATTTCTTCATGTTGAAGCTTCCCCTCTGGTGTATTAGATCTTTCAATCCACCGCTCAAAACTGGCTCCTTAATGTACTCTTTTCAATTCGCAAGGTCGGTACTAACATTGTAAATAAACAAAACGTATAAAGTATTAAATATCGAACTGATTCTTGCTGGTGTTCATATATTCCTTTTATCCTCTGAGACTGTCAGGCTTTGGTGGGAATGTACAAAGAACTAGGATCGGGAACACCATCTTCTGAAAATCATTTACTCTTTTTCTATATGTCCCTATGGTGAAATGCAATCTTGTGTCACCATAATCTTACAAATGTTTGCAAACATGCAACACAGCTTTGCAGCCTTTTTGAATTTGGTATCATCCAGATTTTTTTGTATGTTGCTATTAATAATAGTATTAGTAGTCTTGGTCATAAATCTTTATCTTTTTTTATTGTTTAAAGTATTACAAATAGTAGTACATATGTTTCCTTTTATCCCCATTGACCTCCCCACAGTTGCCCCCACCCCCTGGCACATGCCCTCACCCCCCTAATGTCTTGTCCATTGGTTATGCTTATATGCATGCATGCAACATCAAGCATATCAGGACAAAATATTACCCATTAGTCCTTTGAATTTGAAAAAAAAATTGCTTTTGCAGGTTCTTTACGTAAAAGACATGAATCTGAATGTGATTATTTTCCCTTTTATGTTCTTCGACTGAATTAAATAAATCCAGGAAAATGAAAAAAATCTCAATGTGTATTTTATAAAAGATGAATTATGGGTGAAATAACATCTCATATCTAATCACTGCAATTGAGACAACATAAATCATTTAATATTTAGTAATATCCACCCCAAATATTTCTGTCAGAAATTTCTGTTCAGAAAGTAAAATCAAGATGAGAAGTAAAAATAAATAACAAAAAGGAACTGGAGAACATTTTCCCCACACGCTTATAAAAGTCTAAGAATACCAAAACATGCTTGTCCACAATCTTGCTGGTGCTCCGACCTAGACACACAGTGGGTTTTCTGTTTGTTTTTGTGTAGTTTTAAATGAAAAGGTTTCTAAAGGTAAAACAACTGAATTAGACTCTGAGTCCTATTCCTGATCTAGTCACAAAAAAGTCCTTCAAGTTACTTTTCCATCCTCCTTCAAATGACTATGTAGGCTTAGCGAAAGCTATTGGTCTTAGTTTGTCAGCTCTATTACGGCCCTTAGAAGGCAGTAATACCTCCTCTCTGGTTTTCACAGTATTTGTGTCCATTTGGAAAACTGGAAGCAAACTGGAATAAGAACTAGGCATGATGCTTAGAAGGTGACTTTGGGTTGAGATTTTAAGAGGAACGGAGAGGGGGAAAAACTTATTTTTTATATCTCTCTCCTACAACGTACATTTGCTGTCACAAGTGTCAACAGGCCCAGTGTACTAATCCGAGCTGACAGCTGTACTCATCTTGGGATCAGTCCAATTTTACTGCTAAAGGCAACTTCAATATTGTTTTTTCCAGATAAGAAAACCAAAGCTCTCACATATTAGACATGCACTCATGTTTGTAAATGTCTCTTTATTCAAAGAATTTATTTAAAATAAGGGAAATTGCCTTGTAGAAGAAAGAATAAGCAAAGAGAAGTCCTCCATGCTGTAGGGCATGGGGCCTCTTTTCTCTGGCTACGTAACTGATCCTCCCACTCTCCTTTCTGCCTCTCACATATCTACTGCCAGAGCCTGACTGAGGCAGACTAGATACAGTTTCCGGACTTTCCCATTAGATCCCTTTCCTTGCTTTTTTTAAGATCTGTCAATCCAACCCCTCTCTTGGAAGATTCTATCAAACCCTGTTAAGGGGCCACTCCTCAGGGAGCCACTTCTTTTTTCCTCCTCCTCCTCCTCCTCCTCCTCCTCCTCCTCCTCCTCCTCCTCCTCCTCCTCCTCCTCCTCCTTCTCCTTCTCCTCCTCCTCCTCCTCCTCCTCTTCCTCCTCCTCCTCCTCCTCCTTCTTCTTCTCCTTCTTCTTCTTCTTTAAAATATATTTTTAAGAAAAATTTTTTATATTTTATTGATTTTTTACAGAGGAAGGGAAAAGGATAGAGAGGTAGAAACATCGATGAAAGAGAAACATCGATCAATTGCCTCCTGCACACTTCCCACTGGGAATGTGCCTGCAACCAAGGTACATGCCCTTGACTGGATTTTTATTGATTTCAGAGGGGGGGGGGAGTGAGAGAGACATCAATGATAAGAGATAATCATCTATCAGCTGCCTCCTGAAGGCCCCCTACTGGGGACTAAAAGGGATAGAGCCTGCAACCCAGACATAAACCCTGACCAGGAATCGAACCATGACCTCTTAGTTCATAGGTCCACATTCAACCGCTGAGCCACACTGGCCAGATAAGAGCCCTCATTCTTTATTGCCCACTCTCAGCTTGCATCTTTCTCAGTTTTTTTTTGTTACTTTTTCTCAAAGAAACAAATATACCTATCATATTCCATAGTAGGATGCTGAGCTAGAATTAGCTTCCTCCTTAGATTGAGCTATTGGGGGCCAGCCTCTTGTCCTAATCACCTTAATATTTCTAGACACTCAATAACTGTTAGTTAGATGAAAAAGCCACGTCCCTAACTTGGTAACAGACAGGAAATATTTTAAAGTTACCAACAAAAATTTAACAAAACTGAATTAAAGTGCTGGCTTGTTCTGTGCCTCCCAAACCACCCCCCTCCCCAAACAACAGTAAACAAGTCCGAAGGAGCTGGGATGATTTTGCTTAAATAGAATGCTGAGGAATGACACAGTGGCTTTGTAAGGAGTTACAAAACAAATGACAGATGGCCACCTGTGCCTCCCCATCACCGACAGGACAGAGGAAGTAGATGTATTCCCATGTTAAACATCAGCAGACATTCTTTGATAATGAACTTTATGAGAAAGGAAGCAAGGCCCTGAGAAAGGATGAACTCCGATCCTTGGAGATTTCTAAGAACAGGCGGAACCTCCCACCGGTTTGCAGTGGCTTAGGTGGGATTTAGCTGAAAAATAAGCTGAAACACATGAGCTCCTGAGGTTACTTGCAGCCTTTTCTCTTTGCTCAAGGAGTTAAGAGTTCCCATCTACTGAAATGTCTATTATTCTATAAAAATATAAAAACTGACACCAAAGAGAAGTGAAAGCAGAACTGGTACCCAGAGTCTAAACATCCACAGACACAGAGACCAAAATTACCCCAACAACTTCTGTCTCAACTAGAAAAATGCTCCAAACATCTCTATAAGGTATCATATTATAATTCCAACGCCCCAGGTTTCTGCAACTCTAATTTTAAAATATGTTTGGCTTAAAACCACAGAAGAGAAAAGATCAGATCCATCCCTGATTTCAAATGATGTCTTGCCTTAAAAATAAAGAAAATAAGTGATTGAACACATGGGTAGCACACACACAAAAATCGGACACTTACTGAAGTCCATGGCATGTTGACAATGCAACAAATGAGGCCGGGTTTCCTCGGATATGGCCCTGGTAGTAACAGTGTTCTCCTCCCTAGAAAACAGAAACAGAGAATGTAAGCCTTTGCCAGCGCAAGGAGAGCCCGCCATCACTGCACAGGTTTCTGCCACACTGCACTTCCACTTGTAAGGCTCTGCACAAGATTTCATTATTCAGATTAGTATTATCCCACCATTTCTAACCAAATTAGTCACAAATGCTCCTAGTGAGCTGGCTCCAAATGTGATGATCGAAGGAACAAGAAGCAGATACTGAAATACACATGTGGCTCTTGCACCAGAATAAGGTTAGTCATCTATTTCCCCCGTTGTGAGAAACTCAACCTGCAGCAGCAGCAAGTGGATACTTTCACATAAAGCTCAGGAAAAAGGCATATAAATCATGGGAGAGTCGCTAAATTAAACTGATGGAGGGGAATGCCTAATTTTACACTGTTTCTATCAAAACTTGACAAGTTTATACTATTCTTTTCTCCACCCAGGAATGGCTCTACCGGTAAGCAGTGTAGGTTATGGTTTGAAATGGAGAAGTTTCTTCTAGCAGCCAGTTACATGAGCTAAATGCCACTGAGAGACTCATTTCCTCGGATGAAATGTTTCTGAAAAACCTCACAGGGTAAATCCTCTGCCCGCTCTGGGTGGTGCTCAGTTTTTAAATACTTGCTCATTGTGTGGTCGAGAAACCAGTAGCATTGACATGCCTGGGAGCTTGCGAGAAATGCAGAATCTTGGGCCCACTCCTGATCTACTGTATCACAATCGGCATGTTAACAAGGTCCCTAGGTGGCTGATTTATACGCACATTCAAGTCTGAGAAGCATTGCTCTAAATGACCGTTCCCATCCCCCCACCCATCTCCTATTTCTTCAGAAGCTGTAAACTTTTAATTAAACTGACCCAATGAGATATGAAAGACTGAAATAGGACAGACTAATAGAATGGATGGCTTAAAGAAGCAAACGCTACCTACTTCCCAGTCTGGCTTAAGGACTAACCCCACTTAAACTATTCAGTGCTTGACAAGTGGAGGAGAGAGAACAGGAAGACATGATGCTATCATAAGGCTAAAGACCGTTTCTTCACTGGAATTCCAAGGCAGGTAGCCTGGCCTGCGACTGCTGCTCCTACTGAGATAATACCACAGGCTGGAGTGAACCTCAGTTATGATGAGAGAATAGAGAGCAAATAAAACGATTCGCCGTGCAATCCCTGGCCCTGGGACACCCCCAATATCCAAGGCAGCCATTGAGCATGATGGACCAGGATTATGGCTGGATTTGGTGGAGGATAAAATAGGATGGTACTTCACATGTGGGTCTGACAGGGGTGGAACTCAAAGGCCACAGATGTCAGGATAGAAACAAACCTGGGCACTGACTTCCTAGGTAGGGTTGGTTTGGCGTAGCTGTTAACAGTGTGAGCTGTGTAATCTCAAACAAATTACAGGACTTGCCTGTGTCATCTGTCAAATGGTAATACTCTCATAGGGTTGTTCAGATGATTACAGAGCTAATAATCATACGACGCTTAGAATAATGGCTTGTTACTCAGTACACATTCAATAAAGGTTTGCTGCTATTAAAATTACTTAGTGTCAGCTATTGTCCTACTCAATTTACATACACAATCACTTTGAATCCTCACATCAATCTTACAATATTGTTATCTCTAGTCTACATAGGAGGTCGCAATCTCTGTGAGCCAAGGCTGGCCACCTGGGAAGTGGCCAAGTAGGGATGCAAACCTTGTATAAACCTGTGAATTCAAGGCCAGCGTCATTGTCCCTACACTACTGATGAGTTGGACGTAAAACCTGTCGGTTATGTAGTGTAAATCTAAGTTTTCCTTTAGACTGATTCTTTTAAAATTTATTTTTTTGAGTGGGGCTGGAGGTAAATTTAATAGAATTTTAAATATCTTCTGTTGGGGCTGTTGGACTAAGAATTGTCCATAAGATGAGATTCTAATTGAATGAGAGGTGTTTATGTTTCAAAAAACCTTCACTTCCTGGACACATCTGATTGGATCAGAAATTAATACTCTAGCTATCTATTGGCCAGACACAGAAGGCCAACCACCAATGAGGTGATCTGAACAGAGAGAGAGACTCTTATCTAAAAGAGTAGGTCTAACACAAACAGTAAATATAAAGATAGCAGAACAAAAAGAAATAGAAAAAAAGATAATCACAGTAGTTATGGTATCAGATTAGGGAACAATGGAAGTTGACAAGTCACTATATGTGGATAAAATATGTCAGAGGCAAAGACATGTAAGAAATGTTTTATAAATTGCAAAAGTTTTCTTTAAAATACCAACTCTGGAAACATGTTATAGTAAATCAGAAAAAGGACGAAAAATTCATGTTTTAAAACAATATTCCATTATCTTAGGGTTAAATAGCTGATTAGATCATGGAAAACCATCTTTCACTAATTTCTGGTTATAAAAAACAGGAGTCAATCCAAAAACAGCATATGATCTGGACCCATCTGCACAAAAGCCTAACGCTGCAAATGAAATGAAGAGCTCAATATGGTTGCTTCATTATCGAATGTTTCCATGACACTTCAAGAGAAGCATAAACATCCAGGGGGGTGGGGGGAGGGAAATCTCCTCAATTTGGACTATTAAAACACAAATTTTGAGGCTTTCCTATATATGTAATTTGTGGTATATGTAATTTTTCTAAATAATGGTGGAAATTAATTTTTGTGTTGTGATTTTTTTCAGGGATCATTCACCATAAGTCGATAATTATTTAAGCTAAGAATGAAAGTAATGGAGCTGTTTTCCCCCTTTAACATGCCTGAAAATTTTTTAGTGCAGAATAAAGGCTTTAACATTAAAAGGCTTCTTTAATTATATAAATATATTTAAAAGTTATTAAAATAAATAAAATAAATTTAACATTTTTTATTTTTAACGATTATTCGTTATTCAAAAAACAATAAATACTTATAGAAAAAAATTATAAGAATTCAGGAGGTATATGGTACAGAATAATTAAAAATATCCCCTTCATACACATTGCCCAGGCTGCAGTTGCCTCCTTAAAGGTAAACATTTTTGACAGAATTTGTGCACAGTCCGGAATAATCTATGCCCATTTAAGTAAATGTGTATATACATAAATACACAGATATCCTCTTCAAAGCACAAAAAGATTTACACTATGCATACTGTTCTGCCACTTTATTTTTTTCCTTAAGGTAATCTTGACATCTTTCTATACCAATACCTCATTCTTTCGATGATGGTGTAATATTTAATTACAGGAGTGAACAACAGTTCATTTAAATAGTCCTGTACTAATGGAAATTCAGATTACCTCTACTTTTTGCTGTCATAAACAATACTGTAACAAACTTTTTTTCATATATTTTTGTGCACTTCCATCAGCATATATTGGGTAGATTTCTAGATGTGGACCTGGTAGGTGAAAGAATATGTGCATTAAACATTTTAATAGGTATTTTAAGGGACAAATAGAATTATGTTTCTTTGTACTTACATCTGTTTTTTAAAATGTACATTTGAAAATAATAAGCTGTATTTTATTAAAAATTGTATATTTCTTTTTAAAAATATTTTATTGATTTCAGAGAGGGAGGAGGAGAGAGACAGAGAAACATCAATGCTGAGAGAGAAAATCACTGATTGGCTGCTTCCTGCATGCCCCACACTGGGGATTGAGTCTGCAACACAGGCATGTGCCCTGACCAGGAATTGGACCATGACCTCCTGGTTCATAGGTTGACACTCAACCACTGAGCCACACCAGCTGGACAAAAGTTGTATATTTCTATAGATTACTACTTAAGCCAAGGCTTATCTACACTAATAAAAGACAAATATGCAAATTGATCCTATCTTCACTATGCCTTAAGCCACGCCCACCAGCCAATCAGAGCGACTATATGCAAATTAACCAAACCAAGATGGCGGCCGGCAGCCACGGAGCTGGAGCAAGCAGGAGGCTTGGTTGCCCCAATGATGGAGGAAGCCAAGCTTCCCGCCTGCCATGGCCCGCTCTGAGCTCCACTCAAAGCAACAAAGTTTCAATTATAGAAGGTAAATAAACCCCAGATACCTGCTTTCAGCCAGCCATGGCCATGGGGCTGGAGCGAGAAGGAGGCTTGGGTTGCCCCTGGCGATGGAGGAAGCTAAGCTTCCCTCTCGCCTGCCCTGGCCAGCTCTGAGCTCCTCTCAAGGCTACAAAGTTTCAATTATAGAAGGTAAATAAATCCCAGAATAAACAAGAAAAAAGAAAAAAGGAGAGGCTGGGAACTTCTGTCGCCGGGGGGCTTAGCCAGCCTGAAAATGGCCCTCAGCCCCTCACCCAGGCTGGCCAGGCACTCCAGCTGGGATCCCCACCCTGAAGGGGGGTGTGACCAGCTGCAAACAGCCATCAGCCCCACACCCAGGCTGGCCAGGCACCCCAGTGGGACCCCCACCCTGATCCGGGACACCCTTCAGGGCAAACCAGCCGGCCCCCACCTGTGCACCAGGCCTCTATCCCACATAATAAAAGGGTAATATGCAAATTGACCCTAACAGCAGAACAACTGGGAATGACTAGTCACTATGACACACACTGACCACCAGGGGCCAGACACTCAATGCAGAAGCTGACCCCTGGTGCTCAGTGCACTCCCACAGGGGGAGCTCTGCTCAGCCACAAGCCAGGCTGATGGCTGCCAGTACAGCGGTGGTGGTGGGAGCCTCTTCCACCTCCTCAGCAGTGCTAAGGATGTCCGACTGCAGCTTAGGCCTGCTCCCCGCTGGCAAGTGGACATCCCCCGAGGGCTGCTGGGCTGCTAGAGGGATATCTGATTGCCAGCTTAGGCCCAATTCCCCGGGGAGTGGGCCTAAGCCAGCAAGTGGTCATCCCCTGAGGGGTCCCAGACTGCGAGAGGGCACAGGCCGGGCTGAGGGCCGCCCCCCACCCCCGAGTGCACAAATTTTTGTGCATCGGGCCTCTAGTTGATTATAAAGGTCCTCCATATTTTCGTATGACTTTTTTGAGGAACC